CCAGTGGAGATGGCTGATCATGGAGACAACGTTAAGGAAGTTGCAGAGACTCTCAGTAGTCTTCACCTTTTGAGTAACGCACACCTGGACCACTGAAAACCTCTGCTCGCCATGACCCCCGCTCTCTATCTCAGTAAATGGATAAACTCAAGACTTAGGGGTGGGAGAAATAAATTGATTCTTAGATGCATCGCGATGCGGACGTGGAAGATTCTGACTTTATTAACAAGGGTCAAAAAAATCGACTATTTATGTTAATTGATAACATAATGTTGACAAAACGCAAAAAGTGGAACTCGCGAAGTGCAGCGCCTGGATGGTCTATAGCGTGCACATAACAGAGACCACCCCTGTATTTGGCACACCACCGCTGCGGCATGAATAACCTCCCTACTTAAATGTCACACAATCATTAATATCAATGCGCAAGTAATGATTTTAACTCACGCACTGTGTGAGCATGTTAACACTCAGCGCTTGGCAGCTCTCTGTATATGTGTGTGTGTGTGTGTGTGTGTACGAGTGAGGCTGAGCGAAAGAGAGAGAGCGAGGGGCAGAACATGACGATGAAAGTTAGCGGAGGAAAATATTAGCAGTAAGTTTCAGTCTGGTAGTAAATGTGCAGTCCAGGTCACAGTGTATATGTTAATAGAAGTACGTAGTTTCTCCAACTGCTGGAAAAGTAAAGGTGGTTAGGGCTAGCTAACATCTCCCCTGCACAGCACGTTTTTGGCTGCTTATAACGTTAGTTAAATTAGTAACGAAGTAACCTTGATTAGCTCAGCTGTATGTCATTACTAACTTACCTACTTGTCAAGGGTTGAGAACATCTGGTACAATCTTAGACTAAACTGATGTAAACCTCTGTCCTGTATACATCCTGTACATACTGATAATTATATTTCAGTTTTCAGAGGAGTCTGATAACTGGTTGTTAAAGAAATCAGGGATCATGGAGATGAGGTTAGTGAAATAAATTAGGGATGCAAACTAGTCCTTTTAAGCTAATTAGGAGATGTTTCTTTTTTCGATTTTAATGCGCAAATTAAATGCTTTGTAATTATCCAGAGATCCTGTATAGAAGAAAATTATGCCTCGATAATCATTTTCTAAATCGCATCGCAGCCCTCTGAATCATAATCGAATTGTGAGGTGCCCAGAGATTCCCACTCCTAACGTAGACACGGTTACTGCACCCGAGTATTCCTCTATTCAGTAATGAAAGAAGGTGAAATAGCCTATAAGTTACCCGGATGACTTCAGTTATACAAACACGTGCATAGCCCACCATCATATCATATCTCAAAGTGAATGACAAATGTCACTGTTATTGTGGGGGATTTAACTTTAACATAATATGGCCTGGTCACGTACGAAACATCTGTCTGGTGTTGCAGGAGTGCCATAAACGGGTGTTGAGTTATAAATCAAAACCTATGCCACAGATGTCCAATTTAAGTTAACAAATAAAATTGGACTTAGCAATACAACAAATACTTTAGATACCGGTGAACTGGTGAAACTATTGCCGATTGACTTTCTCTGGAAGATTAAAACAAACAAAGCTGATATATTTCAGCTTTAACGGCATACCCGGCATCAAATGTCATGCAAATTGTGTGCATTAATGCAGATTTCTCTTCCAATGACTAGTTGCAATGGCACCAGCAATATGAAGCTTCACTGCACTTCAAGAGACAGAGTAGAACCGTTTGTAATTGTAAGTGGTATACTGCTGAAATGTATGTAGAGCTGATAGGGCCAAGAGCAGGCTGAAAACAATATTTATAAGAGGATTAGATCCAACAAAATTACAACAAATAGCATATCCAAATACGCACAAGCTTTGATGAGTGCACATTGCTAGTACAAACAACCATGGATCATGTACGAGTTAGGTTAAGGGCCAAGAAGGCATAACAGCGATTAGATATTAGACCTTTAAGATGTTCTGCAATTGCTGCTAGCATAAACAAAAAGGGAAATTGTGAAATGTGATCAATTATTGTGCAGCAGCTGAACACAGTTTTTGTCCTTCTGGAGCATTTTAGTGCCAAAGCCTGACGACTCCTGTGACTCAAGAGACGATGGTTACAATTGGTAATTCAATGAAACGTTTTTAATCACCTGGTCAAATCAGCTATTCATTTTGGAAATAAATATGGAAAAGGATCCTGAATTGAATCCTATAATAAAATGTTCCACCATGTCCTCAGCGTGTGCTGTTGTTGTCATTATTGTTTTGCCATGACAAATGTTGTTGGGCAGGACTGTCCCTAATCCTTAATAAATGACAAAGAGAGTAACATGGAGCCTGACAACGTAACTGCAGAGTCGCCAATGTCCACGACTTGGGACCCGACTGCAAAAATAGTGTCATATATTTTGTAGCATCTAAGAAAGTAAATATGACCTATTCTACTAGGTGAAAGCAATCAACAAAAATCTAAATTATTTCCCATTTTCCTCCCCAACATAACACTGAGGAAAAGATACAGCACCACAGGAAGTTTATTAGCGTTTTGGCGCAAAACAACCTTGCATGTGATGGGAATGCTACACAGTTTGGACTCAATCCAGTCTTCAACTTCATACAAGCAGCATATGGAACAAGAAGAGGACTCGGGGAAAGGGTAATGCAGAAAAAGACATAAATAAAGTAGACTTATAGCAATGCAGTCCCAGTAAGGAGAAAATGTTTTAGATAAGACCTCAGATCACAATGACAAGTGGAACCCCAGCCAAAGGCTCTTGAGTTACTGAATTTACCATTAAGGATGGCAGCTTATGTAAATGAAAATGTTACATCTCAATGTCTAAATTTGAAAGAATATGATCAGACAAAGTAGCTTGTGTGCATTTAATTACATGGTCAAGAAGTATTTGTCTTTCTCTTATGTCTCTTAAGTGGTTCATATTGTGATATTTGGTACATTTTGTTATTTTACAGTAAATTGACTGCATCCTAACAGCTCTTTATTTATTGAAGTGATCACTGGAGCTTAATGTCTGGAATTAACTCAACTCATGAAGGTCTATCCAACCCACAATCCCTTTCTAAATTGTCCTGACTCATCCTGACCAGAACAAGAAAAGTAAACTTTTTATCTCCTAGCTTGGTACAGCAGCCGGTGAACTTCACCTCATGATTCAGATCAGAACAAAACCCTTAAACGATGACTGTAGGAGAACACAACAAAATCTTTACCAGCATTTGGAGTACAGTAAATTACCAACCAGAAGCCTTAATTCTTTGCTGAGTGCCAAACAAATAAAGTGAATTAGAAGAGATAAAAAGTGAGAGGATACGCTTTGTCAGAACATTAAAATCATGGGAACACGTTCTCAGTCCAGCGCAACCTAAAAAGACATTTTTGTCTGAGCCTGAATGTGCCTCATGTCTCAGTGAGATTTAAGGTCTACGTTATTTTGTCACACACTATACATCATGTATGTTATTTGCAGAGGTGTTTAGATCCAGCTGGCAGAAGACAGGCAGGCTACACCAAGAATCAGAAATTACAATCAGGTGCATTCAGTGGAACATTCATGATCAGACACAGGTAAATTAGAGGACTGTGGCTCTACTATATGTCACCTTGAATAGAGGCAGTGTTTGGGAAGTAATATAAAAGGTTGACTAGGCAGTCCAGGGTATGTCTATAGTCATAAATGTCCTTAACTACTTCTGAATATTTAGTGCATTGAGATCTGCATATCTAATCTATAAAAATGCATTTAGTCTTAAAGTGAACAGGGTTTGTAATATGCAGTTAAATAAAGCAAGAGTGGAGAGGTAGCAATACCAGTTCCCTGCACAAAGCATTTACTGTTTGAGTAACAATCCTAGGCATGATTTTTTTTTTTTTTAAAGGTATTAACGTTAGACCCAAACTGTGCAACATCAAAATGGTACAGTAGAATGTCCTGGTCTCCTCACACTGAACCACAGAATATCCACCACTGCTCTCTCAGTACCTGGCTAGATTAAATCCATTAATTCTCAGCCTAGCATTTAAATCTCGCTGTAACTCCATTGAGTTGGCTAAGGCTAGCTTTAGGGGTGAATTAGCCATATTGTTTTGCTGCAGCCTTCAAAGTTGACAGCTAATCAAGTTGGCTACGTCGCTAGCTCCATGACAAGACTTTCTCCCCCCTAAAACTGGAGAACATGACAACCGCTTGTGTACATTACCAAAGCAACCACAGTTGCCTGAGCGTTAGATAATAGCCAATTAGCTTGGTGAACATTAGCCAGGCTGCCTACCAACTGTGCCAAGTGTTTGCTTTATTAACGTTTTAGAGACGGCCGTCTGGCGTTAAAGGTTGTTTAACATTAGTTAGTCACAGGGCGAGACGTGCAGCTGAAACTCCATCGTCTGTGGGCCTCCGCGTTAAAAAAAAAAAAAAGTGACCGTGTCAACAAGCGAAATCAGTCTCACTGTGCTGTTTGATGCATTGGAAACAGCAACTGAACTAGCTGAGGGTTAACATGCCAAGCGTCAGCTGTCTAGCTACCGTTAGTTAGCTGAGACAGCTAGCTTGTTGTAACAAAAATGAATTAGAGGGCGAGCTCGGCTACGCTAATAACGTTTTAGCTTTTTATTGGCGAACCGTAACCGGACCCCTGCATGTTGAGGACCCAAAACCCAAGTTCCGACTTTAAAATGTCGAAGTGAAAAGCAGATAGGCCCGCCTTAGGTTACGCCAAGGGGCCAGGCAAGGCAAGGCCATGGCCAGGCCGAGTTAGCACGGGTTAGCTTAGCATGCTACATGCTAGGTAACAGCCGTGCAAACCCGATGCGTTTGCAGAGAGAGAGCGAAGAAGAAGAGAGAGAGACGCTTTTCAGGCACCAACGTTTCTGTCTGCGTCAAATCAAACCGTAAATAGTCCGTTCTTACCCGGGCATCCCGGCGAATGCATACCGGCACTGAAACAGTGAAATGGCCGAGCAATAGTACGTTTCTGACCTTTGAAAAATTAAAAATAAGAAGCCTACCCATTAGTTCTGTGGCTCTGCTGGTTCTCCTACACTGGGATATTGGAAATGATGGAGAGCCGCACTGCGCCTGCGCGGCAGGAGCAGCCACCAGATGGGAGGTGATGCACGTTACCTCCAGAGCTCAGACACATAACCTCTGCATGGCAAAAGTTTAGAATAAAACTATAAAAAGAACGAGGAACAACTGGATATGTGGGTGGGCTTCTCTCTAATGGTTCCCACAGAGGGGTCTGGGGCTCTCCAGGGTTCCTGGGGCAAAATGAAGAAAAGTTCATGTATCTGTTATTTCCCTTATTTGACTTTAGTCATAGGGTGACCAGACGTCCCAAAAAATCCGGGACAGTCCCGAATTACGAGCAGTTGTCCCGACCCCTTTCCGGTTTGTCCCGAAAATGAGACCTAACATGAGTTTTGATTATAGCCCAATTAAACATTAAATAGGCCTACTTATCGTTGTATAGTTTTCTTGCTCCAGCAGGGGTTGCAGGTTATCTTTAAATTGTGTCAACAGCGTTGTTATACCCACAAAGTAACACTTGGCTCTTTTCCCCTTTTTGTTTTCTTGTAGTTAGTGGACGTTACTGTCGCGACGACAGGGAAAGTGCACGGCGGAGAGATCTGACACGCGCGTTGCGCAGACAGATGTGACACTGCACTGATGACATGAATAAAATAAATATAAAAATTAGGTAAAAGATCATGACTTACCTACATCCACAGATGTGTATTTCCTAATAATAGACAGGTGACTTCATGAAGAAAAATAATACATTTTAGCGTTGTGTTTTGATTTTCACGTGTGTTAATGTTCATTGACACTCAATGTACCGATAGCCCCCCCCACCGGTCTCGGATTTTACCCTTTCTCATCTGGTCACCCTATTTAGTAATGTGACAGAATACAAGATAATGGACGCTGTGATTATCAACCTGTATCTTTCTTATTATAAGGGATCCACTGATATCTGATGGCTAAGGCAAATCCAAATCATTTCTGCATTAAAGCAGCTGATGATCGATGCTAAAATTGTGCAGAAATGTTGACACTTTTTGGCAGGGTGAAAAGGCTTGGCAAGACATTTCAAATGAATACTAATATAACAGTCATGTTAAAATTGAAGTAATTATGGGTAGACCACAGCGGATAATATTTTCTCCTCTGCTGTGATGTTCCTTTTTATAAAATCGTTATGGTTTAGTGTATCTTGAATTGGTGTTTATATATGTACCAGCAGTCCAACAAAGGTTTTCATTTAACATATTTTCAACCAGTTCAGTGAGACAGACTGGAAAAAACATAAAAAAACAGATATTTTTTTCTAAGTCTGTATAACAGAAGGAGACAGGCTGAACAAGATAAAGGATCATTAAAAGTTAAGACTTTTTTTATCTCTTAATGATTATTACCGGTATTACATGGTAATATCTATAATAAAGCATGTGTGATGGATTACATAGCCTACAAACTATTGTTTAAATTCTGTACATATTAAATATGTATTGTATCAAGGTGAATAGAAACCAATGGCTGCATGCATGAAAATAAATATTAATTTAAAAATGAAAATATAAAGTGTATCTGTTCTGCACTATTGCTAAAACATGCAAAACCAAAATACACGAACCTTAGTATTAAATACAACAGAAATACACATTCCTTGTCAGGGCTATAAAAAAATCACACCCTTGTTAATGTAATGAAACTCACTAATAATAATCCTATTAACAGGGGAGAAAAAATATTTTGCTAATAGCTTGGAGATATTGTGTCATATTAATGAGGCATATTGTGCCAACAAGATTGTTTGACTATTAGCCGCAAATTGTACTAATGTGAATAATTAATTTGATTAATTTGAAAGTATCACATTAAGACTTTTAACGCCTGCTCTATCACCTGTTTAGCATTTCATCAACCATTATAAAATAATGCTAAAATTTAAGTGGGTAAAAATGTGAAAATATAAAAGATAGTAGTACTGAAGCAAAAACAGATAATTTCCCTCAGAGTTCAATCATCTGAAAAAACAGATAAGATGCAGCTCCGGGTGCAAATGCTTGAATTTTGTCTTAAGGTCAAACCTGAGGAGTCGTTAAATGAATTCAGTGTATTTGGCAGCTGTAAAAGGACCTCTTCATGTATTTTTAAGGGCAAACATGTGAGTGGAGAGTGTGAGTTGTATTTTAGAATAATGTGACAGGGTAAATGTGAGCGGAGTCGATTTGCGAGATATCTGGTGGATGGATAACTGGTGGTTTTTTTATTATCACCAGTCAACCAAAAGTACCTCGAAAGCTTCATCATCATTGTGAATGAGTAAAAGATGTTGTTATGCTGGCAACCCATGAGCCATTCAGATGAACCATTGCCTCCTAATTTTATCGAGATCAGAGCAGTGGTGGCAGTTATGGCTTTACAGATTTAAATAAATCCATTCATAATTACATATAATTGCCTGTGTAAGGGCAGTCAGTGTCATTTAAAAATGCTATACATCACACCTTCAGAGTTTGTCAGAATTACACAGATGTTTCCTAAAATAAAAGTTTGTTCAATTAAGTACACTTAATATATATATCTAATGAATCCTGACTAGATTTTGTTTGTCTGAAAAAGATTAAGGAGGTGGGAGGTAGGATATATAGGCTTAAACATTTGGATATGGATTTGGATAAGATATGGCCATTTCAAATATGTTTCTAGACAAATAAATAGTCGTTTTTTAATTTTGTTTATAAAGTAAGCATATAAATATGTCGGGTTTTTTAAGTCTCAGTAGTTTCTTAAAATGCATGGGCACTGTAGTTTTTAGTAGGCTAAAAGTTAACTCAAATAGCAGTAAATACTGTTTTCAGCAGTGGATGCATACACTGCCATTTGCAGTTATTTATTATTGTTGTTGTTGTTGTTGTTGTTGTTGTGTAGAGCAACTGTGATACACATACTGTATCTGACAGCCTCAGCCAATCAGAGCCGTAGAGTCCGTTCAGTCAAAGCAGGAAGTCGTCATTGCAGTCGTCAGAGCAGTATTCCCGCGAAGATTCGGACCTCTTGGTACTTTGGTTTCCCTTGGTATGTGTCGTTATTATTATATGTATATACATTTGTAGGCAGACTAACGTCAATGTAACACATACTCTGAGTAAGCTTAGCTCGTTAAGATAAAGCTTGTTGCTGTTGTAGTTTGCCTCTTCGGCGCGCAGTTAACGAGCCCCGGTGACGTTACTTTCAGCGTGGAGAGAAAGTGAGACCAAACTCCATTCTTAAATTATGACAGATTAGTTCCTCCTTGCTTGACGGCAAATATTAATATAGTATTGAATACAGTTTGCGACTGCTTCTGAATAATTACGAGTCACTTTCAGGTATTTTATAATATATGTAAACACACCTCCGGGGAAGTTATTAAAGTGGAAATTGTATTTAAATAACGTTAGATGTTTCTTGTTACATTAACTATATGCCGAATTGAAGGCTGGGTTATCCTCATGTATGATAGACCTTGTTAAACGTTACAACGTTAACTCACGTATGTCACTAAGCGGCATTAAAGTGTTTTGACGAATACTGGATTGGAGTTTGGTGTCAACTTGTCGAAGTCCAGGACTAAGGGGCTCATTGAAACCACTTTGTATGTTCAGAGTTGTAGCTCAGTACTGTTGGTGACGAGATCGTTAAGTGGGCAGAAAGTAAAACTGGAGCCTAGAAAGTAATTGTGATATAATTACTATTTCATATTGTAATGCTGCTTAATAAGATAAAAACATACTAAAGTAGTTGTCATTTTCTTGGAATGTCAATAAGGACCCTTTGAAGCCCCTGCTGCACATTTTGGGCACCACACATCAGGCAGTCTAATCAATACACAAAGTGTTTTGCAGCTTAGAGGGACAATGAGTAAGAGGAAGATGAAAGATGCTCATTTGCCAGTAGGGGAATGCATCACACAGGTTCGTATCAGTTATTCTCTTCTAACTTGTTTATGTCAATAGAGAGATGACTGTTCTTCACGATTATTTACATACATATGAGCGTCTGGCTGGCAAGCACATGATAATTTGTGTTACTCTGATTTGTTCAGGTTCAGGAGATCTTAAGGGAGCGGCTTTGCCATCAGCAGCTCCCTGACAGGCCGGAGGGAGTGGAAGCTCAACACAAGTGGGTTTATTTCATTTTGATCAAATGGAACCATAGACTTTTTGTCATTTTTGCTAGAAAGAATATCAGAATAGTTGCAGATGAATTTTGTGCTTCAGCTCTAGTTTAGATATAAATGTGGGTAATTTACAGGTCTCTTCTTTAGAGAGGGATGTGGTATAGTTAGAAGGGGCAAGATGAAGATATGATTCAGAAATCCTTGAATGTTTAAATAGAAGCTGTTGTAGGATTGTCATCTGTAATGAAGAGACGATCGGGGACTTGGTGTGAGCTTCACTGACCCAGTTCAGTCTTACCCGGCTGACAGCACTGTCCCACTTTGGAGGCTGGAAAAGCTCCAGTTCCCAGCTTACTTGGACACAACACGAGTATCCCCGGTGTTGCTCTCTGCAGCAGGTAGAGAAATCCACCTGCAAAGACTGAGGATTTAGTCATTTGCACTCGTTACATGGAGCTGAGAACTGCATAAACTTTACTGACACTTAAGTAGAGTACAAAAAACAAAAATGTATCTTTTACGAAATAACACATTATTACTGATATTAGTATTATGCATTATGGGTATTGTAGTCAAAGCACTGTATTTTCAGACACCTCCTGGAGCTGCTGAAGCGCACTGCCGTCCACGGGGAGAGTAACTCGGTGCTAATCGTCGGCCCCAGGGGGGCAGGAAAAACAATGGTGAGCCTAAACTGCCAGAACCCATGCTGCTTATGTGCTTATGGGTTAAAAATGGCTGAAACAAGAAGGAATTGGTTTTAAAATCCTGCGAGGGGTTGTATTGTCCTACCTGTTTGTGTTTATGTGTCTGCAGCTGCTGAAGTGTGTGCTGAGAGATCTGCTGGAGGAAAAAGAAGTGCAAAAAAACCTGCTACAGGTTCATCTCAATGGTACTGATTTCTCACCAAACCCAGTTTTATTTATTCAGAATTTGAGAACGTAAACACTTATTTACTTACTTCTTAGATTTCTCATTTCTGGATTTGTTCTTTCCTGTGGCCATAGAAGATATTCAACCAGTGAATCTACTGTTTCTAAATGCACATGGATTCATAGATGTCTTTGTGCAGCCTTACTTTATTATTATTTATTAAAAATGTCTTTGAGTACAGGTAATCACATTTGTCTTTTTGCTGTAGGTCTCCTGCAGACTGATGACAGAATAGCTCTAAAAGAAATAACGCGGCAACTCCACCTGGAAAACGTTGTCGGTGACAAAGTGTTTGTAAGTTATCTGGAAAGAGTTTTATCAACAGTTTTGTCACAAATGTTGAAATGAAACGGTTCCAGAAAACCTGTTTCTGCTTCATTTCAGGGAAGTTTTGCAGAGAATATGGCTTTCTTGCTGGAGGCGCTGAAGAAAGGTTAGAAAACTGATAATGCAGTTTTTCAAATGGAATCATCTCAGTTAAAGACCATAAAGGTGTGGTTTATGCTTTGAGTGTTACCTACGGTTGCTGTTTGGGTTTCACACCAGGTGATCGCAGTAGCAGCAGCCCGGTGTTGTTCGTCCTGGATGAGTTCGACCTGTTTGCCCACCATAAGAACCAGACGCTGCTCTACAACCTGTTTGACGTCTCCCAGTCTGCCCAGGCTCCCATTGCTGTGGTCGGCCTTACCTGCAGACTGGTGGGCCTCGCTCAGTCCTCCCAACCTTTCAAGATAAGGCTGGTGGAGTTTTGCTTTAATGCTTTTTTTGTGGTCATTTGCATCTAGGATGTTCTGGAGCTGTTGGAGAAGCGGGTGAAGTCGAGGTTCTCCCACCGTCAGATCCACCTGCTGAGCAGCCTGACGTTCCCTCAGTACCTGGAGCGGGTCCGAATCCAGCTTAGCCTGCTGCACAACTTCCCCGACGACAGCTTCGCTCAGGACTGGAACACCAGCGTAAAGGTGAAATCAGTGAAATGATCTCGGCTCAGTCTAGAGATCTCAAATCAGAGAAGAGTATGTCTGAACCTGGGGTTTCTGTTTTAGTGTTGGTCTTCTAGTTCTTGCATTAAAATACCACAGATTGACCTGGAGGAGGCGCTATACAGGTGCATCTCAGAAAATTAGAATACTGTGAAAATGTTAGTATAATAGTTCAAACCTTTTTTAGTTTTAATCTTTGATTACGGCTGTCAGCTCATAGAAATTAAAACTCCATATCTCAAAATATTAGAATAAAGAATGTACAATACAGAAATGTTGACATGAGAAGAGCCTTTAATCTCTCAGTCTGGTTCAGTACCCACAACCACAATCATGGAAACTTGTGACTTGACAGTTGTCCAGAAGACACTCATTGAGTCCCTCTACAAGGAGGGAAGCCACAGAAGGTCACTGCTGAAAGGGCTGGATCAAAGCATGTTCATGGAAAGCTGACTGGAAGGTTTAAAGTGTGGAAGGAAAAGGTGCACAAGCAAAAGGGACGACTGCAGCCTTCAGAGGTATGTCAAGCAAAGCAGATTCAAGAACTTGGTGGAGTTTCACAAGGAGGGGACTGAGGCTGGACTCGGTGCATCAAGATCCACCAAGCACAGAGGAGTCCAGGAAATGACCTACAGGTGTTACATTGCTAGTGTCTTACCTGGGCTAAGGAGAAAAAGAACTGAACCGTTGCTCAGTGGTCCAAAGTCCTCTTTTCAGATGAAAGTAAATTTTGCATTTAATTTGGAAATTCAGGTCTCAGTCTGGAGGACGAGTGGAGAGGTACAGAATCCAGTGTGAAGTTCCCACAGTCAGTGATGATTCGGGGTGCCATGTTATCAGCTGGTCTTGGTCCAGAATCTATGCAGTGTCTACCAGGAGATTTTAGGGTACTTCATGCTTTCATCTGCTGACAAGCTTTATGGAGATGCTGCTTTCCTTTTCCAGCAGGACCTGTCACCTGCCCACAGGGCCAAAACCACTAGGAACTGGTTTGCTGACCATGGTGTTACTGGGCTTGATTGGCCAGCAAACTCACTTGACCTGAACCCCGCAGCGAATCTCTGGCATATTATAAGAGGAAAATGAGAGACAGCAGACGAACCATCCAGACGAGCTGAAGGCAGCTATCAAAGCAACCTGGGCTTCATAACACTTCAGTAGAGCCACAGGTTGATTCCCTCCATGACATGCCATATTGATGTAATAATTCATGCAAAAGGAGTCCTGACCAAGTACTGAGAGCAGAAATAAACCTATTTCAGAACTTTTCAACTTTTCAGAGGTCAACATTTCTGTATTAGACATTCTTTATTCCATTCTAATATTTTGAGATATGGATTTTTTATTTCCATGAGCTGTAAGTCGTAATCATCAGGATTATAACAAAAAAGGCCTGGAATATTGCACTTTATTGAATCTAGAGTATATTAAAAGTTAATTTTTTTTAACTTAAATTATGGGGAAAAAATAACTTTTTCACAACATTCTAATGTTGTGAGATGCACCTGTACTTAAGGTCCATATCTGCTACACCAGTGGTCTGATTTTACAGAAACTAAAAGGCAGCTTGTAGCATTAATCACATTTTATTTATTATTTCTTATGTTTTCTTTTATTCAGACTCTGGTTAAAGACAAATCGGTTGAGGATGTTTTACAGAGACACTTCAACTCCAGCAAAGACTTCCGTTCAATGCACATGCTGCTGGTACAAAACCATCATTATCCTTTTATTTAAGATTCATTCTCCATGTAAAGTATCTACAGTTTGATTCTTCTGTTTTTACTTCCAGATGTTGTGTCTGTGTCGCGTGTCTGTATCTAAACCTGCCATCAAACCTGCAGACCTGCTGGAGGCCAGCAGACTATGTTTTGCAGACACCAAAGCTAATATGCTCCACGGTAAAAACAAAATCCAGAGAGAAATGTCTTCACACGTAGACCTCTCCACTAAGTCCATGTGTTTATATTTGTTTGCTTTTCTCTCTCTAGGTCTGTCCATCTTGGAGCTGTGCCTTGTCATCGCCATGAAACACCTCAATGACGTTTATGAAGGAGAGCCGTTCAACCTCCAGATGGTTCACAACGGTACGACAGGACGCTGCGTGTAGTTTTTGGTTTGTTTTGACGTTTTAATGATGGACGAAAGAAAAAAATCTCACAACACAATAGTGACACAGGAGAGCTGTTCAAGATGACATTGGAAAAGTGGCTTTTAGTTTTATAGTACTTGTGCAAATATGCGAAAAAAAAGAGCTTATAAAGGAAAAACACAAGTCATCAAGGAAAAAGGTTTAGTCCTGATGCTAAAAACAATCAGACATCAGCCAGTGTACATAATTAGTTTGACATGTTGTTTTTAGAGTTTAAGAAGTTCCTGCAGAGGAAGTCCAACTCCATGTACAACTTTGACCCGCCTGTCATCATGAAGGTCTGTATAAAGCTTTTAAAGAGTCCTATGCTACTTTATATGCTGTTTGAGAGGTTGTCCAGCCCCAATGGGAAGACACCTTTAAGAGAGATTTATATATTTATTTGTATATAAAAATGGCAAATTTAAAGACCTCTTCCTCATCCTCAGGCCTTTGAACACCTGCAGCAGCTGGAGCTCATCCGGCCGGTCGATGGCCCCTCAGCCAAAACACAGAGGGAATACCAGCTGATGAGGCTCATGCTAGACCACAGCCAGATCATGGAGGCCCTGCAGAAGTATCCACAATGCCCCACTGACATCAAACAGTGGGCCATGTCGGCGTTCAGCTGATTAAATTTGGACTTTACGTAGCTGTTTGCTGTTCTTCACCAGCACTGCTACAGAGAAGTTTGGGGAAAATAATACAGAAGAAAGAAGCTTCTGAGGTTTGTCTTACATCCAGATACTGGACTGGTGAATTGAGCACTACATCCCGAACCAAGGCCCCCAGTGAAAGCTATCCGGAACCAGGGAAAATCAAGGCCGCCAGTATGTCAGAGAGTTATATCTACACAAGCAGTGCATTTGTTTCAGTCCAGTATTTTTTTTCAAGCGCTCAGAATATTTTTTGTTAGTGTTTTGAAAAGTCACGGTCAGTGGTCATTTTAGAAATGGTGAGTTTTGTATTCCTGGGATCACGTTTCACTCAGAAGATCACATAATCACATTGAAATGACAGCTTCAGCATAAAGTTACTCACATTTTGAAAGTCGACTTGTAATCAGGATGAAGTTTTTTTTGTTTGTTTGTTTGTTTTTTTTCTTAAATAAAGTCACGTTTACCACCGATATTAGGCTGTTGGTGCAGAACAGAATTACAAGTGAATGTTTAAGTGGAAACACTGAACACCTGTTGACAAAATTTACAGGGATATATTAGATCATCACCATGACATCCGTAAGATCCAGCAGTGTTTGTACACTTTCAACAAGGTTTTTGTTCCTTCCTTCCTTCCTTCCTTCCTTCCTTTGAGCCTTTAATGTTTGAAAAATAATTGTGGATTTGATCAAATATAGATTGTGAAAATGGACATTCTTTACAAAAAACAGACCTCTTGATGAGATTGTGAGTAAAACTAGACATCTGTTATTTAATTCTGACAATCTTTTAGCCCAAATTTCAGAACTGAAACAAGAATCAGTTGCTGTGAGTGTTTGAGTGCTGCCTTCTAGTGGTGAAAGACTGCGGTCAACGTTAGCCTGGACAGGAAGTACAAAAACCCTTGGCAGGTGAAAGAATGCAATTTAGAATTAAAGCTGCAAGCAGCGTTGGGCGGGCCCTCGCACTTGTAAGCGCGTCCGCGTGTGAGCCGGCCGAGTTGCATATTCTCGAGCTCTGCAGGTGCAGCTGTGAATTTGTTACGCGGTTATGACGCCGCATGAAGGTGTTATATGTCACTTCCTGTGTCCCCTATGTGGAGCTACATAGCACTTGCCGCTATGAATATAAATCGGTATTGGTGTGTAGATGTCTGCGGGGTGGGACAGTTATCAAGCACGTAAAGTTTGTTTCAGATGTGAGCATGTACACTGAAGTTAAAACAACTTCCTGTGTCGTGGCGAAGAGTTGATCTTTGACGCCACGGACACGCCCATTGACGAAAAACTCACAGATAGCACAACTTTTCATCTTCAATGCCTTTAGAAGGCACAGCAGAAATTTGAAGTCAATAAATAAATAAGCATCCAATTAAATACACTAAAAAATAAAGTAAATAAATAAATGTAGGTAGTAATTAAATTATACAAGGAGACATAAATGTATATATTTTAATTAGTGCCTTTACTTATTCACCTTTGTTATAATTACCTTATTTGTTTATTCAACTTTATTTATTACTAATTTTTTTAATGTATTTATTTATGTGTGTGTTTTAATATTTTTGTCTGGTTTATTCTTCCTTTGTATTTATTTACCTTATTTATTTTCACCCATGGTATTTATTTCTGCCTGTCTTTTTTTAAATTTTTGTATGCATTTCTGCCTCATTATGCAAATGAGGAGGGGCTGTGTCTCAAGGGGTCATCTTCTCTGCTATTGGTGGACCAGTCAGACAGGAGAGCTCCTACTCTGCCTGCAGACATCAACGATCTTGCCCCTCACACAGTCAGATGGCTTCCTTCAGTGCGCTGAGGTGTTTAACAACTCTGAAGACAATACTACCAGCAATGTATTCCTTCTCTTTTCACGTAGACGCACCGACAGACAGTGCTTTCAGTTTGCTGCATGCATGGACACAGAACTGCGGTATAGGGAGAAGCACACGGTCAGCTGGCTGCCGCTAAATCTGGAGTGCACTCGTATTCAATTCTGTATGGTAAATTCAGTTTTAATGGAGCAGAGCGAGCTGACAGGCAGAGTTAGAGACTTTTTCTGTCCGTTTCTCTCTTTACAAAGACGCATGTTGCAGTCAGAGTCTTCTCTGAGATGCGAGCACGACATACAACACAATTTATCAAATTACACATCGGATATACAGTATGAAAATAAGATTGATTGGATTATACTCACAGGAAGTATATAATCTGTTACATGCGTCTATTAAAAGTAAAGTAACACAAAAATGTCAGGGAAATTACTTTACTTAGATTTCAGGACTGCAGTTGTACATTTGAAATACCTTCCTACCTTTCTGATAGGAAGCCTTCTTGAGGTGGTATAAAACATTTCTTCTTATATTCTGATTTGAGTTGTGGACAACTATGACCACATGAATTAAAAAAATTAAACATTTCACTGCCCAAGTCAGCTATAACACAAGTCTTGTTCATTAGACTACATGCTGTACAGTATTTGTGGACAGATTTTGTCCCAGGATTTCTTATGCATTTCTTCTTCTTCGTTGCATGATTTAGAATAATAAGGTGAGAAATGGGTCTATTCTGAGTTCATCCTGCACTGCAGCAGCTAATAAAGTCCATTTAATCCCCAAAACGCTTTTCTTTTAGGCAGGCTGGAGCAGAAAACAACTCACCTTTCTCAAGTTGTACAGTAATGTCACATGTGTATGAAGGTGGATCAAACAAGCTAATCTTAAATGTCAAAGTAGAGAGGAGCCTAGTAGGCCTATTTATTTTCATTCATTACACAATATGAATAAGCTATGCAGACAGTTGTAAAGAAAGAACATCTTTTTCTTCTGTTCTCTACTTGTTATAGTTACACAGTATTAGGGGTGTGGGCTGTATTAAAAGTATCCACTGTTCTCCCTTGCTCTAACACACAGTAACGATGAAATGTGTGCTGTTCTCATATTCTTCCTCTGTATGTACACATAAACAACAAGGCAGGGAAATATAAAAGGAATTTATTTTATTGTTTGGGGGTTATTTGTTGCTCTCCTTCTCCTCCTTCTTCTTTTCCTCTGAAGAATATGGTTATGTTCTGAATGGCGTTTTTGTTGAAACAGCAGCTGAAAACAGCAGAGGAAGGAGCTGCTCCGTGTGGGAGCATTTACCGTACATAGTCGAATAGGAGTGCACTCCAGATTTAGCTGCGGCTAACTGATGTGGCTCTCAGAAACAACAGCTCACTTTCCTGCAGTTCTGTGTACGTATAAGTCGCTAATTGAAAACTCTGTAGGTCAGAGTGTCCACATGAAAAGAGAAGGAAGACATGGCTGGTAGTGTCTTCAAACAGAGTTGCTAAACACCTCAGCGCACTGAAGGAAGCCATCTGACTGTGTGAAGAGCAGCTCGTTGATGTGTGCAAACAGAGAAGGCCTAGAGCTCTCCTGTCTGACTGGTCCACCAATGGGCAGAAGTTGACCCCTTGAGACACAGCACCTCCTCATTTGCATAATGAGGCAGAAATGCATACAGAAATGTAAAAAGGACAGGCAGAAATAAATACCATGGGTGAAAATAAATAAGGTAAAAAAATACAAAGGAAGAATAAAACAGACAAAAATATTAAAACACACATAAATAAATACATTTAAAAAATAAGTAATTAATAAATAAAGTTGAAGATTATATCGGAGAATAAATAAATAAGGTAATTATTACAAAAGGTGAACAAGTAAAGGCGCCAATTTAAATATATACATTTATGTCTCCTTCTATAATTTAATTACTACCTATATTTATTTTTTTACTTTATTTTTTTGTGTATTTAATTGGATGCTTATTTATTTATTGAGCACTTACTTATTTCTGTATTTATTTCTGACTGTGTCAGGATCGGTCCTCCATACCCCGCAGACATCTACACGCCAATACCGATTTATATTCATAGCGGCAAGTGCTATGTAGCTCCACATAGGGGACACAGGAAGTGACATAGCACCTTCATGCGGCGTCGGAACCGCGTAGCAAATTCACAGCCGCACCGGCAGAGCTCCAGGCCGGCTCACACCCGGACGCGCTGCAAGTGCAAGGGCCCGCCCAACGCTGCTTGCAGCTTTAATTTCCTATTACATCCTAGAAAAACACGACATATGCAGCTAACAGGTCTATTAAACAACATCCAGAGGTACCAGAACATTTGTAGGACTTACAATTGTAGGCTTGTCCACCCTCTGATGGCATTGTCATTCAAAAGCTTGAAACAAAAAAATAAAGTTAGTGCAAGTAATAATTTAATTCTATTACTTCCCTGAAGGAGACGTCCTAGATTTTTATGGTCTTGCTCAAGGACACTTCTAGCTGAAGGATGAGGAAATCTCACTCCCACACTCTTTAATGCTGGTATTTTTCATTTAAATGGAACAAATTAAAAATCTTCCAAAACCTCAACAAAACTTATGATTAAATAAAGGTTTTAAAATGTTCACAAATAGGATCCTGCAGCCTATTATTACAGAATACCATCCTCTGTGTGGAAAAAAAATGTTAACCTGTAACATGAATTGTAATATTACAGCTGGCCTGAGTACTTTTCATGGTTTTACATGAAACCTTATTCTGCAAAATAACTTACCCTACTGGTAACACTTTAAAGGTTCTTAATTTCCAAACCATTACTGAATAATTTCACCAGTTTCCTGGAAAGGAAATAACATTTTATACTAGCTAGTGCAACCTAGTCTTTTAGTCAGTACAGAGCAGGTCAGCTGAATGTGCTAACATGTGACAGGCATGCTATCATACATATATCAAATAAAAGAATAATTAATGAATATTTACTTGGGTTTAAATGGATGTTATTTTCAGGAAATTAAAAACCTGTCAAGTAAGAGGTTCTCATTTCAGTTGTCACATGCATAGGAATGAAGTAATCTCAGTCAGACTATGTGACTCAATGAAAAAGGAAAAACAGAAGCATTCACAATCTAAAAACACATTTATTTACATCACGTGGATCACTTCAGCTGATAAAAACCATAGCTGGCCAACATTAGCCGTGAGTCACAGCGCTGATCAGGGATCAATTTAGTCTCCTCTGTGATAATGTCTCCAGGGTTTCTGAAGGTTTTTCCTGCTATAACACTTTAAAATGGGATTTATCTTTTCTATAATCCTCCAGTGTCCCTTCACTGGGAGGTCAGAGGTCAGGGTGAGAACCCCTGGAGCTGGTAAAAACTTGTTCAAGAACAACTAGTGGGATGCTTTTGTTGTACCTCCTACGCATTTTCCAGTTTGAAATTCCAGACCTTAGTTTCTTGTTTTGTCAGAAACATAAAGCGTAGTCACACATATCAGGAGTAAAGAAACAAGACATTTTCATCACTTTAGACTTTTTTTAAACAACCCACTCAAGTTTCATGAACCAAAAATGATCACATTTCTGAGTTTCTTCCAGCCTTGAAAACCAGAAACCCTGTGAGCATCAATACCGTCAGAAGCTGCATTGGCAGATCCTGGATCAACGCTGCAACTCGAGAGCCTCAAGAAATATGGGGTCAAAAATGCTTGTAGTGTTTGCTTTTTTTTTGTAGAAATTTCAGGCCTGGCAACCAGACTCATCCTGCTGCCAAGACAGTGTCAGTGTCGAGGTCATTGGAGTTCAATGTTTCCTCTAAAGTTCTTACCAACAGTGGCAAAAAGCAGGACATCGAGATGCTGGAATGAAATACCTGTAGTGGGTGATTGCATTATCACATATGGAGTATTGCAACAGCTCTTAAAGAGCTTCAGGGTTCTTTAAAATGTAAATGTCAGTGGAGTAGTAGGCTCCTTGAAGGACGCCCTGGGCTGAATGTTTGTCATTTATTTCCTGCAGAGAAAACTTAAGTGCTTTCTTGGGTGCCTTGGTACTCCAATGAACCTCTAGTTCTTAGATTACACAAAGCTCAACTTAAGTTATATTTCGCATAATGAAGGACAATTTCTTTGCAGCAGGACCAAGCCCTGCTGCTGAGTAAAAACACAAGAAAAGTATAAATGAATGTAGAGGAAACACTGAAGTTCAACACGCACTTATAAAGATTCAGCTCAGAGTATATAGTTGATACAGGTATTTATGTTCTCATGTCTGTACAAGTCCTAGACTGCTTAAAATAGCGGGGGCAACAAGACAAATGTTTCACTGGTAGTTTATATGCACAGCAATGTGAGGTGCTGGGCTGGAGGAAGCCGAGATAGAAACTCGTAAAACCTGCATGCTGAGAAAACCCATTCATACACCTTCAAATGACAACGTTCTGACTACATTTAGACCACAGTTGAGACAGAAAAGGTTTGCTAAGATAGCTCGAGACCTGAGGGGAAGCCAAGAGATTGAGCTGTGATTGTCTGACAAAATGGCAGACGAGACTTGTGTTCACACCTGGACACAAGTTCAGACAAGACAAACAGAGCCAGGGATGTATTTTTGGATAAACTCAAATGCTTCTTAAAGACTGAGGAAGCAGATATTGGTACTTTTTTTGGTGCAGCAGGACTGTTAAGGTTCTTCTTGGGAGCTTTAACATAAACTATTAAATAATGCACAAAATTTTCTTTCTGGATGGATCATATGGTCAGCCTTCTAGTACATTGCCGCAGTTCATTGAGCAGGTACTGGTTCACTTCTTCAGACGGCAGCCGTACTAACCAAGAGGTGTATGAATGGATCTCCGAGTGCGTTGGCTTTACTAGTTTCTACAGGGGACAATCACACGAAACCAACCAAACGCAAAGCCCTCTAAAGTTATACAGGGCCGGGCTCTATCCATCAAAGTACACACAATACTAGAATCCAGGAGTCTGAAGAACATTCATTCTCGGTTGTTTGTCCATAGACTGAATAGAAAGAATCACATTACAGTTTATATCTTCTCTTTTTGAATTAATGAAAGTATTTCCTGAATTACAACCGAACACCCCCCCCACAACACCATAAATCGTGCCAACTCTTACAACTTTCCGAGTTGCACCTGAGCTCTGATCCCCAAAACCATAGGCCTGTAAATTAAAAAATAAATACAACATATCAATATGCAAGGTCACGGATTAAAAAAAAAATTAAAATGCTACAAGTTATTCGTGTGTGTGTATTGAAAGTCACTCCTGCAGCTGATCCTACAGAAGTGTAGGGTAGTTTGCGGCACTGGTTGCATATAACTCGCGAGAACTTAGAAAAGCATAGTACTGAATCCCTGAATGGTATTTGTTGGTTTTGGGCCGGTTTCTCAAGCACAGTCTAAACTCAAGCTTTCAAACATTGAACATGTTCCACCATCTACCTACAGTACTGGGATGCGACCGCCAACCAAACGCTGGCACATTGTTGTTATTTTTTTTGCTGTGGCTGGTAGGTCTGTGGACTCTACCGGCCACTTTGGCAGGTAACCAACCAACATTTGGAGGCTGTTTTGATCCACTTGGCTGCTTAAAATACTGGTGAAGAAGTTTTGCATTTGAGGACACGAACATAAGGACAAAAAAGAAGGGGCAACACTGCTGTTTTCCCTTTCTGTTTGTGCCAGTCAGCATGTGTTGAGATGTCAATGATCCTTTAGAAGCCTTCTGCTGTTGTTCAGTCTTGTATAGTAAGGGAAAATGTTCACAGAATGAGATAATGCAACACAGCCTTTTAGTTTCTGTCTCAAGCTTATGGGAAGAAACTGGAGTTTACTCCAACAAATAATCACCCAAACTGGAACTTTTCCCCAGTTTCAGAACTTTTTGAAGAATTTGAATCCTTTTTCTACTAGAGGAACCTGGTTATGATTTTGGTTTATTTGCCATACTTCCTACCCCAAAGAAATCCCTGCGAATGAGGTAGTACTTATTGAAGGGCTGCTGGGGCTTGCAGTACTGATCGTCCCTGACTGCTTAGGCTTCATGAGGACTTTAGACAATGGCTGTTTTTGAACAAAAGTTAACTGAAAAACAGCAGCAGCAAAGGAAGCAATATTGGGCAAATATCATACTTGCTACAATAAGTAAATAAGATGATGGCTTCAACTTCCTTCAGGTTTGCTGTGTTGTACTATTCTCATCATGAGCTGAAAGAATATTTCAAACTTGTCGTACTTTTAGGGTCACCTCTTCCTGATTTACCCGATCTCTAACATTTTAGAGGTGTAGCAGGAAAGCAAATACAAACATGCTCAAGAAAACATTCAGTCTGAAGATCCTTCACGTTTTAGTTCGTCTAGTTCCTGGGTTATTTGGTGGAAAATGGTTAATCAGGTCAACTGTTAAGCCCTGTAAAGTCTGAATTTTACAACTGAAAGAAATACACACAAAACAAATATTTAGCTCAATCATAGACTTGTTTGCTTTGCCAGAAATGATCACTAATCCAATTTCATTTTTTTTGCGTTTTACTTGTTGACTTGGCTCTTATTTCCTCGAGCACTACAGTACAGCGTCTGCTTAAAATGCTAAGCATGTTAAAAAGCATAATCGTGTATTGCCCTGAATGTGAAATGGTTTGGTAGACTTGATTTTAAAAAGCTTGTTTTAAACTGTATCCTGTGAAACCGCCCCAAAGCTTGAGGAGAGACTGCAGGTCTGCCGGCACCAGTGTTCAATGTCCCTCAGGGGAAATAAAGACTCAAAAAATGTCATCGTTGCATTCACAACAGTGACAGATACATCCGTTTTGCCTGACATCTACAAGAGTAACTAACGTGGATAAGTAGAAATGGCACCAGGATGAAAAGGACAAAGAGATTCCTCGCCTCAACTTGTTGGTTAGCTGTGTGGCCGTTTGCTGCAGGATTTTAAAACCATTCCTTTCAGCCCTGTGTGAGGACCATAAACCGCACCATACTGGCAGTTTACTGTTTTTACCACCTACTTGTACCTGTTAACTTAGAGCAGTCTGTCTTAACAAAAGACACAAGACATGCTGTCTATCCAGCTAGTTGTCCACAGCTACAAAGGTCTGATCTGTTGCTCAAGAACTTTAGTTTAATAAGACAGCATCAACACATTCAAACTAATCTACGCTGTAGCCTACGTGTAGCCTGAATAAACACCTCCCCAAAAACGTAACTTCCCAAGAAATGGGTCGGTTTGAAGCCAATTTTACTAGACTTTACTTGACGCAAAAGCATAAATTGGCCTTCGGGGTCAAGGCCAGACCAAGGACTATCAAAACCTGCTAACTAACTGACTAGGTTTAGACTGGTTCTATAGGATTAAATAAACACCTGTATAGGGACAGGCAAGGGTCGACCAGGTTCTACAGACAGAACAGATTATAGCTTACAATTTCTACTCAGAGAGTACACTTTTTTCACATTTTTGAGCATGGCAGCACAGCTAAACCCTTCCAAGTCGAGATGAGGCCAGAAAGAGAGAGAGAGAGAGGGGAAGCGTAAGAATCAGCGAGAGAGGAGGTATTTCAGTCCGAGACAGGTGAGGATGAGGAGGAAGAGGTGGAGGGTGTGAGGAGGTGGTGAGTAGCAAAGATTCCTGAGGTGTATCAAAAAAGAGCAGAAACTCTTGATAGTAATCCAATAAAGATGTGTGCAATCAAATCAAAAGCATGCTGGCTCAGCTAAATACAGGTATAATTCCAAAGTAGGGCTGGGTACCCGTGGAAACCTCCTCAAAACTGCACTTTAAAATCTGATACCTCTACATATTGGATGATTGGTTAATCTGCTTTTTCTAAATAGAACCAGACCACACAAAATGATAAGAACAAGAAGAATATGCTCCAAGAGTTTGACAACCTTGAAATGTTTTAATACCTTCTCATTTGGTACCGATACCAAATATCTAAAAAGGTACCCAGCGCTAATCCAGATATATATATATATATATATATATATATATATATATATATATATATATATACACACACACACACACACACACAGTATATCCAGATCTCATGGCCAAAATGAGTCTTGTCAGCTACAGATACTATAACTCTGTTGACAGTTGACACGGCAAACCAAAAGGGAAAAATCACTTTACATGACAACTTCATCATGGGGGCATGCCCCCCCCCCCCCCCCCGACACTACCTGAAGAAAATCTAAAAACAGAACCACAAGGAGAAAAGTTATTATTCAGTCAAATATCAAAGTGGAGCCAAACTAAACGTGAGACTGAGAAAGGGAGGGGAAAAAGGGAGAAACACTCGTGTTTACGGTGTGTATGGCCATTTACAGAGGCTTTGCTGACTACATTACCCATGGGTGACACGGGTGACAGCAGAATGTTTGGATGCCACGAGCCAAGGTTGTGGAAAGTGTGAGCTATGACTGTGAACAGGGAGAGGGACTAATTTATACTGTGTCCATCTGAAGTGAGGTATACCTGGTTGAAGGAGGTTTATGGTTTTTATCGTCGTAATGCTTGAAAATGGACCCCCCTTCCCCCTTTAAAATAAGCTTGATTACCAAGTTGTCTGAGTCCATAATACACTATGTACAGCAGCATTACACTATAAACATTCAGAAGCCGTTGCTTATTGGCAGAACGATAGTCATTTCCTCAAAAAAAAAAAAAACAAAAAAAAACAAAACAGGCAAAACACGACAAAACAGCAAATGTATCCAGAGCCAAGTGCTCGTCTTTTTTCCTGCATTTTTTTTTTTTTTTACACTAAAATGCATTGAGAGGTCTGTGAGATTTCTCGGGCGGGTCTTCTCTCTCTCTGTAGAAAACCGAGCAGAACAGGTCACCCTCCTATGTGAGTGTATGTATATAAAAACAATACATGAATAAAGTGTTTGTCCCAGCGTGGCAGCACTATCACTCGGTGACGTCGTTGTAACATCCTGAAGCGTTTCGCTAAAATGTTAAAATCCTCAGGCACACATATCAAAATGAGGTGGATATCATATGATGTGGTGAGGTGGGCGCAGGGTGTTTCCTGAATGCGAGTAGCGGCCCGCACTTTTAAGGAACAACCCCCCCCAAAAGATAAAAACAGAAAGAAAGAAAGAAAAAAACATTCTGCCAACCATCCAGGGTCAGCAGTTCATCCCCTCGCGTTGATCCGTGTTTCTGCTAGCTCATCCAGTGTCTGCTGATCAGCCAATCATAAGCTGGACTCCTTAGGTGGGAGGTCCACATTTGTCACCATGGTGACAACAGTGATCTCCTCAGGGCCGATGATTGGGGCTTGGCGCTGCATTTGGCCGATGCGCTCCTCGACGCAGCCGGCGGACAGGCGAGCCTCGGCCTCGTGGTCCCAGCAGTCCTCGATGGTTTCGCAAAGCATAGCCAGACCCTGAGAGAGAGAGAGAGAGAGAGAGAGAGAGAGAGAGAGAGAGAGAGAGAGAGAGAGATTCTGCCTGTCAGAGCTTCACTGATGAGTTCGTGGTCCCTTTTCGCTACACCACAAGTCGTGGCAACGGTAGGTGACTGATTATCAAAAATTTAAAACAATCTGAATACATGGGGTCTTGGCATATGTTCGCCATCAAAATAGCCACCGCTATCAATATTTGTAAATCAAAATCACGCAAATTACTGAATGTTACACATGGGCGTGGGCTATTTGTCGTTTTGAAGGTAGTACACGTCAACACTGGTTAGCGTTAGCTCCTTAAGTAGTCTGATCAGATTAGCTTTTTTCTGTGGACACTACTATTTACTTACAGTTGAGTGAATGTGTCTCTTAAATTTTTTTTAAAAAGTGGATATTTACAGAATTAATGATACAGTTATACAGGATGTATTTAAATACGTTTTCAATTTTTACTAGCAATGGTTCATATAGTCCAGTTCCAATAGTTAAAATTCAGCTGGTTGCAGTAAAATGCAATATAAGGAAAATTATAAATGACAAGTGTGTGTTTGTTGAGAAAGACAGGAAGGCCTTGTTCAATCAACGACCTTTATGTTTTTCTGTGAATTGATGCTCACTAACTGACGTGAGGCTATATGGACAGAGTTTATGTCCTATTTTTAAAAGAAAAAATTAATAGCACATGTAAATAAGATACTGGTACTAGTAGACAGATACCCACATTATGTGCTACATAACAGATCAGGCTATATTAATATACATGCTACCTTTAAGGAATTAATAGTTTTCATGTTACATGGTTGACTAATTAATTAAATATAAATCAATCACTTCCACTAGAAGTGTCTACACAATCTTATGTTATAATTTGTGAGTGCATTTCCTGTTTATTGTCAAATTGCATGATTTTATTTTGCATTTTTTGCATGTGTTTCCTGTCCTGACAGTGGAGCCCACCTCAGAGTGGAGCCTGCACCAGTGGAGGTCTGCAGACAGACATTTCAACGCTGACTTGATAAATTCTCTTCTATGCCTTCCTACGCAACACTGCCTTGAAAAAATACCAAATACAAATCTAACTACATCTGATATTTGCTATAAAATGAAACTTAAGTAATGTGGTAAACAACTTTAAAACCTCATAAAAAGAACTGACTGTATTTTAGGTTTTGAACTACCTTTGAGATGTCCAACAGTCCTGTTTTAGGCATTCCTGGTTTATTTATTTACATACCATATTTATTAAATATTGTGCAACAAGTTGATCAAATCAAACCAGAGACCACCCGATTACAGAACAATCCCTTAAGAACTCAGCAGCGTCAACAAAGCTCTTGTCCTTGCTCACCGCATGTTTCTGCCAGCAGTCTCGCAGGCAGGGCCTCAGTTTCTTATGAACGACGACCTCCTGCATGTCCTCCAGTGACGGATGCTGACCCACCTCCTCCTCAAATGGCAGCATGTACTCATCCACTGGGCCTGTTAACATACAACCACATCTCCAACGTTAAAACTAATCTGACTACACACAGTGTGCACATGTTGCTGGACAAAACAAAACTGAATGCAGTGTTTTTCTGTTGATGCGTCAGTCTCACCGTCAGCGGCGGTGCAACGCGCCGCAAGCTCCCAAAGGACGAGGCCAAAGGCGTACATGTCGATACGCAGGAAGGAGTCGCGCTGGAAGTTGATGGCGCCCTCCAGGACTTCAGGAGCCATGTAGCGCCGTGTTCCCACCTACAGTTTCAAAGGGACCAGAGGTAAAAGGTCAGCATCAGGACAGAAAGAGAACAGAAGCACAAGACAGAAGAAAGTCATGACGCAGCTCACAGATGGGCTGAGACGGCAAAAATTGATGCTTGTCATCGAAAGGTGTTGTTGCTTAGTTGGCAGATACATCAAACCAAAACAGTCAATCAGTTCAAATGATTTTGACATGTTTTTTTAACCATTAAAACTATTTTAATAAAAGCAAAGAGTTTCTCTCTTTGACTCAAAACTTCACTGAAACCAAACAGATGATTAAACTGTGTGGAGAACATTCTGTAAACTGACCCGTGACACAGAACTCATAAATGGACCCGATCTGTTATAACCTACAATATTTACCAATATTTTCCAGACCTTCAAGGCCTACAAGAACAGAACAAGTCCCCATACTCAATTTTTTGCCCACACTGCCACCCTTAGACGCTATCAGGTATTTTCACAAACCAATATTCATGATGGTGGCTCAGTAACATTCCCCACAGAACTCAGGACTCTTTGGGGTTACACTCAAAAAAAGTGCCGCCATAACAAACACTTCTATTTGAAGCCAGTTTCCAACCTAAAAAGGCAGGAAACACGGCAAAGAGGTGGATGAGTATTTCATGTTTTACACCATCTATAAACTGTACCTGTCCATGTGTGTCTCCTGCAGATTTTCCTGCTTCAAACTGCAGGGCAAGACCAAAGTCGGCTATGCAGGCTGTCAGGTTATTCTTCAACAGCACATTCTTACTCTTAATGTCCCTAAGACACAAAAAGAGACAAGGTTAATATGTACTTGAGTGTAGAACTCCTGTAGCCAGAGTTTAAGCATGGCAAAAAGATCTCTATGAGCCCAGATATTTCGACAGCGTACCTGTGAGCGATGGACGGCTTGTGTCCATCCTTGTGTCCCGGGATGTCTTCGTGGAGGTAGGCCAGGCCACGGGCTGCTGTCTGAGTGATGTGGCAGAGCTCGTTCCACGACACCACGTTGGCCTTCAGGTAGTCTGTCAGCGAGCCCTGGGGAAAGCCAGGGAGAGAAAAGGTGTGTTTACTACAGAAAGAGGAATAGATGTCAGAGTTTCTGGCCTGTTTTCCTTACAGTCATTCAATAACCCCGGTGGGCTTTAAACTGCTATGAATATATTATATAATAAAAAGAAATGGGGGGGGGGGGGGGGGGATTTCACTTTATTACAAAAATTATTATGACAGAGGATAAAACAAATGACAAAAAAATTAAAGCTGCAAGCAGCGTTGGGCGGGTCCTCGCACTTGTAGCGCGTCCGCGCGTGAACCGGCCGAGTTGCATATTCTGGAGCTCTGCCGGTGCGGCTGTGAATTTCCTACGCGGTTCCGACGCCGCATGAAGGTGTTATATGTCACTTCCTGTGTCCCCTATGTGGAGCTACATAGCACTTGCCGCTATGAATATAAATCGGTATTGGTGTGTAGATGTCTGCGGGGTGGGAGAGTTATCAAGCACGTAAAGTTTGTTTCAGATGTGAGCATGTACACTGAACAATAATGTACCCAAACAATAAAATAAATTCCTTTTATATTTCCCTGCCTTGTTGTTTATGTGTACATACAGAGGAAGAATGTGAGAACAGCACACATTTCATCGTTACTGTGTGTTAGAGCATGGGAGAACAGTGGATACTTTTAATACAGCCCACACCCCTAATACTGTGTAACTCTTTCTTTACAACTGTCTGCATAGCTTATTCATATTGTGTAATGAATGAAAATAAATAGGCCTACTAGGCTCCTCTCTACTTTGACATTTAAGATTAGCTGGTTTGATCCACCTTCATACACATGTGACATTACTGTACAACTTGAGAAAGGTGAGTTGTTTTCTGCTCCAGCCTGCCTAAAAGAAAAGCGTTTTGGGGATTAAATAGACTTTATTAGCTGCTGCAGTGCAGGATGAACTCAGAACAGACTCATTTCTCACCTTTTTATTCTAAATCATGCAACGAAGAAGAAGAAATGCATAATAAATCCTGGGAGAAAATCTGTAGTCAAATACTGTACAGCATGTAGTCTGATGAACAAGACTTGTGTTATAGCTGACTTGGGCAGTGAAATGTTTAATTTTTTTAATTCATGTGGTCATAGTTGTCCACAACTCAAATCAGAATATAAGAAGAAATGTTTTATACCACCTCAAGAAGGCTTCCTATCAGAAAGGTAGGAAGGTATTTCAAATGTACAACTGCAGTACTTAAATCTAAGTAATTTCCCGGACATTTTTGTGTTACTTTACTTTTAATAGACCCATGTAAGAGGTTTTATACTTCCTGTGAGTATAATCCAATCAATCTTATTTTCATACTGTATATCCGTTGTGTAATTTGATAAATTGTGTTGTATGTCGTGCTCGCATCTCAGAGAAGACTCTGACTGCAACATGCGTCTTTGTAAAGAGAGAAACGGACAGAAAAAGTCTCTAACTCTGCCTGTCAGCTTGCTCTGCTCCGTTAAAACTGAATTTACCATACAGAATTGAATACGAGTGCACTCCAGATTTAGCTGCAGCCAGCTGACCGTGTGCTTCTCCCTATACCACAGTTCTGTGTCCATGCATGCAGCAAACTGAAAGCACTGTCTGTCGGAGCGTCTACGTGAAAAGAGAAGGAAGACATGGCTGGTAGTATTGTCTTCAGAGTTGTTAAACACCTCAGCGCACTGAAGGAAGCCATCTGACTGTGTGAGGGGCAAGATCGTTGATGTCTGCAGGCAGAGTAGGAGCTCTCCTGTCTGACTGGTCCAACAATAGCAGAGAAGATGACCCCTTGAGACACAGCCCCTCCTCATTTGCATAATGAGGCAGAAATGCATACAAAAATTTAAAAAAGACAGGCAGAAATAAATACAATGGGTGAAAATAAATAAGGTAAATAAATACAAAGGAAGAATAAAACAGACAAAAATATTAAAACACACACATAAATAAATACATTAAAAAAATTAGTAATAAATAAAGTTGATTAAACAAATAAGGTAATTATAACAAAGGTGAATAAGTAAAGGCACTAATTAAATATATACATTTATGTCTCCTTGTATAATTTAATTACTACCTACATTTATTTATTTACTTTATTTTTTTGTGTATTTAATTGGATGCTTATTTATTTATTGAGCTCTTATTTATTTCTGTATTTATTTTTGACTGTGTCAGGATCGGTCCTCCATAGCGGGGTGGGAGAGTTATCAAGCACGTAAAGTTTGGTTCAGATGTGAGCATATACACTGAAGTTACAACAATTTTTGCGTCATGGCGAAGAGTTGATCTTTGACGCAACGCCACGGACACGCCCATTGACGAAAACTCGCAAATAGCACAACTTTTCATCGTCAATGCCTTTAGAAGGCACAGCAGAAATTTGACGTCGATCCGACTAAATCCCTAGGAGGAGTTCGTTAAAGTACGAAGTGTGTAAATCATCCAAAAATGGCCATAAAATTCAAAATGGCCGACTTCCTGTTGACTTTAGGCTATGGGTTCTTGAGGCTTTTTTGTGCGTCTTGATATGATACATGTCCCCAGAAAATTTCGTACATGTAGGTTGAACGTGAACGAGGGGCTAATTTTTTCCAATTTTCTAGGTGGCGCTAGCGAGTCATTTCGCAACGCCCATGTGCGAAACTTGTAGAATACGAAATTTTTCACCGGTTCTGACATGTTTGCAAATTTTGGTGAGTTTTTGGGTATGTTTAGGCCATGTCATTTGGGCCTACTTTGCAGAAAAAAAAAAAATATATATATATTAAAGCTGCAAGCAGCGTTGGGCGGGCCCTCGCACTTGTAAGCGCGTCCGCATGTGAGCCGGCCGAGTTGCATATTCTGGAGCTCTGCCGGTGCGGCTGTGAATTTGCAACGCGGTTATGACGCCGCATGAAGGTGCTATATGTCACTTCCTGTGTCCCCTATGTGGAGCTACATAGCACTTGCCGCTATGAATATAAATCGGTATTGGCGTGTAGATGTCTGCGGGGTGGGAGAGTTATCAAGCACGTAAAGTTTGTTTCAGATGTGAGCATGTACACTGAACAATAATGTACCCAAACAATAAAATAAATTCCTTTTATATTTCCCTGCCTTGTTGTTTATGTGTACATACAGAGGAAGAATGTGAGAACAGCACACATTTCATCGTTACTGTGTTTCTGCTCCAGCCTGCCTAAAAGAAAAGCGTTTTTGGGATTAAATGGACTTTTTTAGCTGCTGCAGTGCAGGATGAACTCAGAATAGACCCATTTCTCACCTTTATATTCTAAACCATGCAACGAAGAAGAAGAAATGCATAATAAATCCTGGGACAAAATCTGTCCACAAATACTGTACAGCATGTAGTCTAATGAACAAGACTTGTGTCATAGCTGACTTGGGCAGTGAAATGTTTAATTTTTTTAATTCATGTGGTCATAGTTGTCCACAACTCAAATCAGAATATAAGAAGAAATGTTTTATACCACCTCAAGAAGGCTTCCTATCAGAAAGGTAGGAAGGTATTTCAAATGTACAACTGCAGTACTTAAATCTAAGTAAAGTAATTTCCCTGACATTACTGTGTTACGCATGTAACAGGTTTTATACTTCCTGTGAGTATAATCCAATCAATCTTATTTTCATACTGTATATCCGTTGTGTAATTTGATAAATTGTGTTGTATGTGGTGCTCGCATCGGGTACTACTGAGACTTCATTGCCCTCTTCAGAGAAGACTCTGACTGCAACATGCGTCTTTGTAAAGAGAGAAACAGACAGAAAAAGTCTCTAACTCTGCCTGTCAGCTCGCTCTGCTCCGTTAAAACTGAATTTACCATACAGAATTGAATACGAGTGCACTCCAGATTTAGCTGCAGCCAGCTGACCGTGTGCTTCTCCCTATACCGCAGTTCTGTGTCCATGCATGCAGCAAACTGAAAGCACTGTCTGTCGGAGCGTCTACGTGAAAAGAGAAGGAAGACATTGCTGGTAGTATTGTCTTCAGAGTTGTTAAACACCTCAGCGCACTGAAGGAAGCCATCTGACTGTGTGAGGGGCAAGATCGTTGATGTCTGCAGGCAGAGTAGGAGCTCTCCTGTCTGACTGGTCCACCAATAGCAGAGAAGATGACCCCTTGAGACACAGCCCCTCCTCATTTGCATAATGAGGCAGAAATGCATACAGAAATTTAAAAAAGACAGGCAGAAATAAATACCATGGGTGAAAATAAATAAGGTAAATAAATACAAAGGAAGAATAAAACAGACAAAAATATTAAAACACACACATAAATAAATACATTAAAAAAATTAGTAATAAATAAAGTTGAATAAACAAATATGGTAATTATAACAAAGGTGAATAAGTAAAGGCACTAATTAAAATATATACATTTATGTCTCCCTTGTATAATTTAATTACTACCTACATTTATTTATTTACTTTATTTTTTTGTGTATTTAATTGGATGCTTATTTATTTATTGAGCATTTATTTATTTCTGTATTTATTTCTGACTGTGTCAGGATCGGTCCTCCATAGCGGGGTGGGAGAGTTATCAAGCACGTAAAGTTTGGTCCAGATGTGAGCATGTACACTGAAGTTACGACAACTTCCGTGTCATGGCGAAGAGCTGATCTTTGACGCCACGCCACGGACACGCCCTTTGACGAAAACTTGCAAATAGCACAACTTTTCATCTTCAATGCCTTTAGAAGGCACAGCAAAAATTTGAGGTCGGTCGGACTAAATCCCTAGGAGGAGTTCGTTAAAGTACGAAGTGTGTAAATCATCCAAAATTTGACGTAAAATTCAAAATGGCCGACTTCCTGTTGATTTTAGGGCATCGCTCCAAGAGGCTTTTTTGTGCGTCTGGACAAGATACACGTACCACAGAAAATTCGTGCACGTAGGTAAAACGTGCGGCGGGGGCTGCTTCGTTAAAAGTCACTTTCTGTTGCCAGCAGGTGGCGCTATGACTGTCTGTGAATGTCAGCATGTACATGTGTTCAGGGCGGGACTCTCATCCTACATGTACAGTTTGGTCCAGATGTGAGCATGTACACTAAAGTTACAACAACTTCCTGTTTCATTGCGAATCATCGACGCCACGGACACGCCCATTGACGAAAACTCGCAAATAGCACAACTTTTCATCGTCAATGCCTTTAGAAGGCACAGCAGAAATTTGACGTCGATCCGACAAAATCCCTAGGAGGAGTTCGTTAAAGTACGAAGTGTGTAAATCATCCAAAAATGGCCATAAAATTCAAAATGGCCGACTTCCTGTTGACTTTAGGCTATGGGTTCTTGAGGCTTTTTTGTGCGTCTTGATACGATACATGTCCCCAGAAAATTTCGTACATGTAGGTTGAACGTGAACGAGGGGCTAATCATTTCCAATTTTCTAGGTGGCGCTAGCGAGTCATTTTGCCACGCCCATGTGGGAAACTTGTAGAATACGAAATTTTTCACCGGTTCTGACATGTTTGCAAATTTTGGTGAGTTTTCGAGTATGTTTAGGCCATGTCATTTGGGCCTACTTTGCAGAAAAAAAAAAAAAAAAAAAAAATATATATATATATATAATCCGAGCAAATTCAATAGGGACCTCGCACGGTCGTGCTCGGGCCCTAATAATCCGAGCAAATTCAATAGGGACCTCGCACGGTCGTGCTCGGGCCCTAAAAAAGATGCCTAGACCTAGAAACCTAAATCTTTTCTACATGTATTAAATATTTAAATTTATTACTTTTCACAGTGAAATTACCTACTCAACGCATCGAGAAATGTGGGTTATGAAAAGTGATTCGACCAATAATGCAACAATAAATAATGCTTGTTTCCATTGTAACAGCAACATTCCTAATGGGGTGGAAATTCAGTAAAGCTTGTTGGTAGTATTGTCTTTTACAAGGGACCCCACAATAAAAGAATGTCTTTACAGCACGGCTGCACTGACGCCTCCTACAGTTCTGCTTGATTGTAATATTGAATACTGAAACTTTACGGATGATTATCACAGCAGAACAACAGGAAGTGACTTCTGGGGCTTCAAAGAAAATTTTTCAAAGAAAGGTGATAAATAAAATGTTGTACCTCCTGGGTGTATTTTTAAAACCACAGTAGTCCTTAGTCACCAAGCAGACTTCCTCAAAATTTATTGTTCATGGTGAATAATAAGAGCTCGGATAAATGCTATTTGTTGATCTACTCATTATTGTGGTGTTTGTGGTTTGTGGACCACACAAGCGCTTTATCAGCAAAGACCTGCTCACATTTCTGAATAGGTTTTGCACTATTTTACTTTGCAGAGGTACAGATGGGTGACAAATTAAAGGAAAAAAACAGTCAGTCATCAGGTCATCTCACAGGTCAGGACAGACCTGAGTACAGCAGATAGAAAGAAAAAACAAACCGACAGAGATAACAAAAGGACATCAGAGACAGTCACAGACGTCACAGATGTGAAGATAGTTCATATTATATCATTTGGTGTTATAGTGATGGTGGTGGAGAGCACCGTCTTAATCATTGGTCCAAATTCTTCCAGTGTTTCCCACGTTCAGGATTCACTTGTAGGTATGTTAACGACTGCCCAGGTATATTTGCAGACATATTTTAGCATTTTGCAGAGAAACACAAGAGAGATGTTATCTATTACGTTACAAGACACAGAAGAGAGAGCGAGCTGAAGGGAAACACAAGGTGAGCAGATTCAAGTTGTCAGTAAACACTAAAATAAGGTGGAGAATGAAGTAGAATTAAAATGGTAAAATAAGAAACAACCTACTAGAAATAGACATCTGCCAAAAATGTGTTATATGCACGGACGCTGATCATCTCTAGATACTGGCCACATTTGAAGAAGTACCTTTATATAAATATTGCAGGTAAGAAAAAAGAAATAAGATGGGAGATTTGGCTCCAAACAAGAAATGCATGTCCAAGATTTCAACCCTAATGTTGAAGCGTCATCTGTTTCATTCCTTATCCTTGTTCTTACATAATGTATGTCAATATGATACAAGGTCACTTGCGACAAGGCCAAAGATGGGGGGAATTGCTGGAGTTACCACTAGAGGGCAGGCAGCTCCAACAGATGTAGGAAAAAAAAATCTAATCTTATCTGTTTACTTTGTCCTGTTTTTCAGACAAATGCTTTCAATGCTGTATTAATTTCTGTTAAATTATGAAAATTCAAGATCCCATTCAGACAATATCCCTTTGAAAGGCATCCATTGAAAGCTATTAATATCTATGCAGTGTCCAAGATATGAAAAGATTAAAATACAGTTTTGGAGGAGCTTGTATCCTTTAAAGCAAGCCACGGCATGCTACCGATCCTACAAACCTCAACGCATAAAGCTTTTCAGATGTGTCAAACATCAAGGCATAAATCAGCTGTCAACGTGACGCTGAACCCTGCAATCACTGTTCCAGCTGTTCCACAAGCTAAGGTTCAGTCCAAACTCAAGTGGCCAATACTTTGATACCTGCTCTTAAAATCTGGCAAGAAGGAAAAGCTTTTTGTAGGTTAAAGTTTTTATCTTAAGTTAATGTATCCTCAAAAGACTGCTTACAAAATAATTACAGTGCATGCTCGACAAGGCACCAAAAAACTGTGTTTCTGATAAATAGCTGGTTGTATGACCTTTTCCTAAAACTCCTTAAAAACAAGTTTCTTCAATGTTATTTCTACACATCAGAGTAGCACTTGTAGAGCTGCTGCAGGGTTAAGTGGCTCACTAAGAGTTTTATTATTGGGGTAAAGCCTCACCACCTCACCACCTCACCCACAACCTTTAATTTTTCAACCTTTATTCACGCAGAAATGATATCTTCAAGCACGGTGATTCAAATTCTTGGCTTGGCTGGGAAATTCAAGCAAATGAAGCGTACGAGAATCACTCTCCACTTCGTCGGTAATGACCCTCAAAACACAGAGGCACTCGAAGCCCCAGATGCTTCAAAGACTGAGATTGAGAGGGTGAGTGAAGCACAACGGGGCTGTCAAACCTCAAGCATACCTTTACATTTGTTCATGCTTTTTTCAAGCCTTGTTTATTTACAAGGCTTGAAAAAAGCATGAACAGCATGTTGTAATTAAGGATTAGCTCTGAAGGCAATACAAGGTGGAGTTTTCATGCATGTTTTCCCCTTTTCCAGTATTAACTGCCTGCCCTGGAAGTCTTTTGATCGGTGTACAATAAGCATGAGAAGATGCACTACGACCACTATATTAAGATGTTTACATGGACAAACAACATGGTTAGTAGAAGAAATCAGGCGGTAGCTGGAACATAGGCGTTATCAGTAATCAGATTTCTCTAGTAGCATAGTTTGGTCCATTTTTATTCTTCTGGATCTTTCTTACTATGTGGATTTATTTCTTTGTTTTGGTTTCAGTTAGACATTAAAATTAATTATTTTGGATGCAGGGATGCTATAGGGAGTGTTGAGCTAAAGCAAGCTTATCTTCTTAACTTCAAACTTAACTAAAATCATCCCTTGGACTTTCTTTTACACTTCATCTCTTGGACTTTCTTTTACACTTTTTTTTATTAGTTAATTCAATTTAATTGCAGGTGCTGTTTAGGTAAAAAGGATTCTTTAAAACATTACCTACTGCCTTAAGCCCCTTTTCCACTGCATAGTACCAGCTCGACTCGGCTTGCCTCGCCTTTTTTGCTTTTCCAAAAAATGTTTTACCTGTACCTGCTACCAGGTACTTTTTTCATGTCACCTCCATCGAGGTTCCAAGCGAGCTGAGGCGATACTAAAATGTGACGTGAAAACATGGCAGACTACCGATTGGTCAGAGAGAATAGTCACTATTCACAGCATCATCATTGCGCGCGCTGCCAGCAGCAGAAAATTTTATATTTTACAATCTTCATATGTTATTTCATCACTAAATCCACTTCTGAGAAATTTTGAGGTGAGAAATCAACTGTGTAGATTTCGAATATTGACAGTTTTATGTAAAGTGATAGTGGAACAAAAATTGGGGGGCTCCACGAGGGGCCGTGGGGGAAGCCTGCGGCAACCCGCGGGAGTAGCTCCCAAGGCTGGCCAGCCGCCCGCTCACAGAGCCGTCTGTTCCCACCGTCACACAGACCGCTGCAGCAACAACGGCAGAGGAACATTCTGAGAAATGTTGAAACTTTTTAACTTAAATCAAGAGACCGCTGTTTGTGTGTCGCTGGTGTGTGTGTTGCATTGAACATTATATTGCAGCAGTTGTGTGTGGCGTCGCTATGACGACCAGCTACATTGAGGGGTACTATCTCTGGATACTATGTGCAATGGAAAACGGAGCACGGCCAAACTGAGGCCAGTTGAGGCCAGTTGAGCCGAGCTGGTACTGGTAATGGAAAAGCGGCTTATGTCTCATGTTATAAAACAAAAAATAAATCAATAGATAAAAGACAAAAACGTTGCAGTTTGCAGGTGGTATATCTCCAGCCCTGATAGCGCACCTTGTCGTGGTAGGCGGTGATGAGCCACAGTTCCAGGTCCAGGTTGTTGCTCCTCTTCTCCACGCCGATAAAGTGGAGGATGCTGTCGTGCTTCATGCCGCTCACGCTGTAGATCTCATACTCGTTCTGCCAAGACAGCTTGTCCTGGACAAGAGCAGAGAGACAGACACAGATGTTATTTTTGTTGTCAAGCCATCTAATTTACAAAAGTGTCAAATATATCTCGAAGAAGAAAAGTAAGATAGGGACAACTAGTATTAGAAGTGATTAAATATGAATATAATAATCACTTGCAGTAAAATAAACAGATGTTAGCGTTTTTTAACAGTCAAATAAAGACAAACAGTAACCTAATTCATCTACAGGTGCTGGTCATATAATTAGAATATCATCAAAAAGTTGATTTATTTAAGTAATTCCATTCAAAAAGTGAAACTTGTATAATGTATACATTCATTCCACACAGACTGATATACAGTATTTCAAGTGTTCATTCCTTTTAATTTTGATGATTATAACTGACAACTAATGAAAACCCCCAAATCAGTATCTCAGAAAATTAGAATATTGTGAAAAGGTTCAATATTCAAGACACCTGGTGCCACACTCTAATCAGCTGATTAATTCAAAACACCTGCAAAGGCCTTTAAATGGTCTCTCAGTCTAGTTCTGTAGGCTACACAATCATGGGGAAGACTGCTGACTTGACAGCTGTCCAAAAGACGACCAGTGACACCTTGCACAAGGAGGGCAAGACACAAAAGGTCATTGCTAAAGAGGCTGGCTGTTCACAGAGCTCTGTGTCCAAGCACATTAATAGAGAGGCGAAGGGAAGGAAAAGATGTGGTAGAAAAAAAAAGTGTACAAGCAATAGGGATAACCGCACCCTGGAGAGGATTGTGAAACAAAACCCATTCAAAAATGTGGGGGAGATTCACAAAGAGTGGACTGCAGCTGGAGTCAGTGCTTCAAGAACCACCACGCACAGACGTATGCAAGACATGGGTTTCAGCTGTCGCATTCCTTGTGTCAAGCCACTCTTGAACAAGACACAGCGTCAGAAGCGTCTCGCCTGGGCTAAAGACAAAAAGGACTGGATTGCTGCTGAGTGGTCCAAAGTTATGTTCTCTGATGAAAGTAAATTTTGCATTTCCTTTGGAAATCAAGGTCCCACAGTCTGGAGGAAGAGAGGAGAGGCACAGAATCCACGTTGCTTGAAGTCCAGTGTAAAGTTTCCACAGTCAGTGATGGTTTGGGGTGCCATGTCATCTGCTGGTGTTGGTCCACTGTGTTTTCTGAGGTTCCAAGGTCAACACAGCCGTCTACCAGGAAGTTTTAGAGCACTTTCAATTCAGTTCAATTTTATTTATATAGCGCCAAATCACAACAACAGTTATCTCACAGCGCTTTTCATAAAGACCATACTTTAGACCATACTCTATGATGCTATTTACAGAAGCCCAACAGTTCCCACCAAGAGCAAGCACTAGGCGACAGAGGCAAGGAAAAACTTCCTTTTAAAGAGGCAGAAACCTCGAGCAGAACCATGGCTCAGGGTGGGCGGCCATCTGCCTCGACCGGTTGGGGTGAAGGAGAGAGAGGGAGAGAGAGAGGGAGAGCGAGAGAGAGAGAGAGGGCAGGAGGGGAACAGAGAGAAAAAGAGAGGGATGGAAGGAGAGAGAGGGGAGGGAGGCAGCCTACACAATATACACACACAGAAGTACAGACAGTAAAGGTGATGTTGGTATACACTAAGTGAAAAATGGTACAGATATTTATAGTAGTGTTAATGATAACAATCGTAATGTTAATGATTATAATAACAATAGGACTAGTAACAATAGTTGTTGTAGCAGAGGGTGTCGAGCAGGAACACGGGGGCAGCAGGTGACCCGCAGCCACAGATCCAGACTCCACAGCTCCAGAGCCAGAAAATCTGCAGGAAGTGATAGGAGGAGAGACGAGAAAGCACAAGACTACCGGAAAGGGGAGAAGTTGTGTTAGTAACATGCAATAATGGGATGAGGTTGCATACAGAGGGAGAGAAAGTAGAGGAGAGAGGAGCTCAGTGCATCATAGGAAATCCCCCAGCAGTCTAGGCCTATAGCAGCATAACTAAGGGATGGTTCAGGACTAACCTGAGCCAGCCCGAACTATAAGCTTTATCAAAGAGGAAAGTCTTAAGCCTACTCTTAAATGTGGAGATGGTGTCTGCCTCCTGAACCCAAACTGGAACCTGGTTCCACAGGAGAGGAGCTTGATAGCTGAACGCGCTGGCTCCTAGTCTACTTTTGGACTTTTAAGGACTTTTGGAGACTCTAGGAACCACAAGTAACCCTGCATTCTGGGAGCGCAGTGCTCTGGTGGGGTAGTAAGGTACTATGAGCTCTTTAAGATAAGATGGTGCCTGACCATTAAGAGCTTTGTAGGTAAGAAGAATGATTTTAAATTCTATTCTGGATTTTACTGGAAGCCAATGCAAAGAAGCTAAAACAGGAAAAATATGATCTCTTTTCCTGGTTCCTGTCAGAACACGAGCTGCAGCATTCTGAATCAGCTGAAGAGTCTTAATGGACTTTTTCGAGCAGCCTGATAATAAGGAATTGCAGTAATCCAGCCTAGAAGTAACAAATGCATGCACTAGTTTTTCTGCATCATTTTTAGACAGGATGTTCCTGATTTTTGCAATATTACGTAGGTGAAAAAAGGCGGTCCTTGAAATTTGCTTAATGTGAGACTTAAACGACATGTCCTGATCAAAGATAACTCCAAGATTCCTCACAGTGGTGATGGAGGCCAGGGCGATGCCATCAAGGGAAACTACATCTTTAGATAATGCATCACGGAGGTGCTGGGTCCCAGAACAATAACTTCAGTTTTATCTGAGTTTAACATGAGAAAATTACAGGTCATCCAGATTTTAACATCCTGAAGGCACATCTGAAGTTTAGCTAACTGAAGAATTTCATCTGGTTTGATCGATAGATATAACTGAGTATCATCTGCGTAACAATGAAAGCTTATGGAATATTTCCTGATAATATTGCCTAAAGGAAGCATATATAAAGTGAAGAGGATTGGCCCGAGGACAGATCCTTGTGGAACTCCATGACTAACTTTGGCATGCATTGAGGACTCATCGTTAACATGTACAAATTGAAATCGATCTGATAAATAGGACTTAAACCATCTTAGAGCGGTTCCTTTAATGCCAATGAAATGTTCCAGTCTCTGCAATAGGATCTGATGGTCAATGGTATCAAATGCAGCACTAAGATCTAATAAAACCAGTACAGAGACAAGTCCTTTGTCTGATGCAATAAGGAGGTCATTAGTAATTTTCACCAGTGCTGTCTCTGTGCTATGATGAGCTCTGAATCCTGACTGAAAATCCTCAAATAAACTATTGCTCTGTAGAAAGTCACACAGCTGTTTAGCAACTGCTTTCTCCAGAACCTTAGAGAGAAATGGAAGGTTAGATATAGGTCTATAGTTGGCTAAAACATCCGGATCAAGTTTGGGCTTTTTCAGAAGAGGTTTAATTACAGCTACTTTAAAGTACTGTGGTACATAGCCTGTTGATAAAGATAGATTGATTATATCTAGCATAGAAGTGCTGACTAAGGGTAAAACATCTTTAAGCAACCTAGTCGGGATGGGGTCTAAAAGGCAGGTTGATGGTTTAGATGAAGAAATTATTGAAGTTAGTTGGTAAAGATTGAGGGAAGCAAAACAGTCTAAACATATATCTGGTTCTACAGCTGTTTCTAAGGTTCCTGAGTTTAGAGATAATTCGGTGCCAGTTGAGGGTAGGTCTTGGTGAATTTTGTCTCTAATAGCTAGAATTTTATCATTAAAGAAGCTCATGAAGTTGAAACTACTGAGAGCTATGGGAATACTTGGCTCAATAGAGCTGTGACTCTCTGTCAGCCTGGCTACAGTGCTGAAAAGAAACTTGGGGTTGTTCCTATTTTCCTCTATTAATGACGAGTAGTACGCTGCTCTGGCATTACGGAGGGCTTCCTATAAGTTTTAAGACTATCTTGCCAAATTAAACGAGAATTTTCCAGTTTGGTGGAACGCCAATTCCTCTCAAGTTTCCGCGATATTTGCTTTAATTTGCGAGTTTCAGTATTACACCATGGAGCTAACCGTCTTTGTTTTATTATTTTCTTTTTTAGAGGGGCTACAGAGTCGAGTGTCATTCGCAGCGAGCCTGCAGCACTATCAACAAGATGATCGATTTGGGAGGGACTGAAATTAGCATAGGAGTCCTCTGTTACTTTGTGACTAGATAATGTATTTAGAGCTGGTGGAATCGCATCCTTAAATTTAGCTACAGCACTATCAGACAGACATCTTGTATAGAAATTTCTGCCCAATGGCGTGTAGTTCAGCAATACAAACTCAAACGTTATCAAACAGTGGTCGGACAAAGAGGGATTCTGTGGGAACACCACTAAATGTTCAATTTCAATACCATACACCAAAACAAGGTCGAGGGTGTGGTTAAAACAGTGAGTCGGTTCATGAACACTCTCAGAGAAGCCAATGGAATCTAACAGAGAGATAAACGCAGTACTAAATCTGTCATTCTCAACGTCCACGTGAATATTAAAATCCCCTACAATAATAACTTTGTCCGTTTTAAGGACTAAAGTTGACAAAAACTCAGCAAATTCAGATAAGAATTCAGAGTACGGGCCAGGTGCTTGGTACACTATAACGAAGAGAATTGGTTGCAGTGATTTCCAACTTGGGTGCGAAAGACCAAGAACGAGGCTTTCAAATGAGTTATAGTTTAGTTTAGAGCTGATTAGTAGGCTAGAGTTGAAGATAGCTGCAACTCCACCTCCTCGGCCTGTGCCTCGAGGAATGTGAGTATTAATATGACTGGGAGGGGTGGATTCATTTAGGCTAACATATTCTCCATCACCCAGCCAGGTTTCAGTAAGACAAAATAAATCAATATTATAATCTGATATTAGTTCATTTACTAGTACACCTTTAGAAGAGAGAGATCTGATGTTTAAGAGTCCATATTTAACTCTCCTATTCGTTTGCACTATTGCTCTTGTGGTTTTAATTTTTTTGAGGTTTTTATGTACAGCTCCTCTTCTGTTTACCTTTGATTTAAATAATTTCGATGGTCGGGGGGCAGACACAGTCACTATAGGATTTTCACTAAGTAACTCCTGAAATGGAGGAGCAGAGAAGTGTGTTAGACTGCGACTCTGCCTCCTGGTCTCAACTCTGGGTTGTCATGGATTTGGTCCACTAATAAACTTGGCCAGATTTCTAGAAATGAGAGCTCCTTCCCAAGTGGGATGGATGCTGTCTCTCTGAATCAGACCAGGTCTTCCCCAGAAAGTCTGCCAATGATCTACAAAGCCCACATCGTTTGCTGGACACCACCTTGACAACCAGCGGCGGAATGACGACATGCGGCTATACATTGTTTTTGCATATGTACACACCGACTCAACATTAATCTTAGTGACCTCCGATTGGCGTAACCGGGAGTCATTACCGCCGACGTGAATAACAATCTTACTGTATTTACGTTTATCCTTAGCCAGCAGTTTCAAATAAGATTCAATGTCGCCCGCTCTGGCCCCAGGGATGCACTTAACTATGGCCGCTGGCTTCGCTAACTTCACGTTTCTCAAAATGGAGCTGCCAATGATCAGAGTTGGTTTCTCAGCGGGTGTGTCGCTGAGTGGGGAAAATCTGTTAGAAATGTGAACAGGTTGATGGTGCCCCGTGGACTTTGAATGCTTACGACTATTCCTCCTTTGGACAGTCTCCCAGCCACCCCTTCCTGGCTGCTCAGGAAATCCCGGGGGACGGCTACCAGAGACTAACTCAGGCCGTTCCGCACTGACTACCGAGGACTGGCTAGCTACAATAGCTAAAGACTGATCTACCAAGGTGCGGAGCCGGACTTCTAAATCACTTGAGCCTCGTCTCCATGTCTACAAATAAACTACACTTATTACACGTACCATTACCGCTAAAGGAGGCAGGGGAGTAACTGAACATCTGACACACCGAGCAGGAGAAAGTAGGAGAGAGAGAGGTAGAAGGAGAAGCCATCGCTAGCTGCTAAGCTAAAGTCGCTAACGGCTAAGCTAAAGTACTGTAGCGTCAGCTACCAAAACTTTAGAACAACTATGAGATTGAACAACAGTCACTAAAAGATGGAAAGAACTGTGAGTGCTTAGGCAAAATTACTGTAAGAATAAGTGTTTAGCGGACAGTTGGCTGCTGTAATCTAACAAATGTAACTGTTATTTAGCAAGAGCAGCACAACACGGTACCAACAGACAAGCACCGGAAACGGAAATGAGTCGACACGCTTACCGCAGTACGTCAGCAACGTCAGCGTCAAAGGCGTTCATGCTTCCTGCTGCTGACTAACTTTATAGACATGCAGATTTCATTTTCCAACAGGACTTGGCACCTGCACATAGTGCCAAAGCTACCAGTACCTGGTTTAAGGACCATGGTATCGCTGTTCTTAATTGGCCAGTAAACTCGCCTGACCTTAACCCTATATAAAATCTATGGGGTATTGTGAAGAGGAAGATGCGATACACCAGACCCAACAATGCAGAAGAGCTGAAGACCACTATCAGAGCAACCTGGGCTCTCATAACACCTGAGCAGTGCCACAGACTGATCGACTCCATGCCACGCCGCATTGCTGCAGTAATTCAGGCAAAAGGAGCCCCAGCTAAGTATTGAGTGCTGTACATGCTCATACTTTTCAGTTGGCCAACATTTCTAAAAATCCTTTTTTTGTATTGGTCTTAATATTCTAATTTTCAGAGATACTGAATTTGGGATTTTCATTAGTTGTCAGTTTTAATCATCACAATTAAATGAAATAAACATTTGAAATATATCAGTCTGTGTGTAATGAATGAATATAATATCCAAGTTTCACTTTTTGAATGGAATTACTGAAATAAATCAACTTTTTGATGATATTATAATTATATGACCAGCACTTGTACACACTCTACGAAAGCCGCCAGAGGTCAAAGCCCAGTATAATACCTGAATGGGGAAGATCTTCACGGCCACATAGTCGTTCAGCAGCTGAGCCTTCCACACACATCCAAAGCGCCCCCTGGCTTTCACCTCGATCAGCTGCAGAGGTTTGTGTCCCAGAACAGGGGACGGGAGTGATGGCCCGGGATCCTGTGGAGAGAGGGCAGAGAAAAAAGATGGAGATGACCGTGTTATTCTTTTAGCTGTTTTTTGTTTTTTTTTGCAGGGCATTTAAATAGCATTGGCTTACACTGAAGGTAACCGGGCTTTTGGCTCAGCAACAACGTGTCTGAGAAGCTTAGGCCAGCAGAATTACTATCATCTTCACATCTTAAATCACATCTTACCAATTACATTTTATAGACTCACTTTGCTTTTATGTGATGATGCGCTTCTATAATTTTTTTGCCAACATGCTGTTTTTAGCCCATTTCTTTATCTTTTATGTTGTGGAGCCTCACTGCGTTTTTCTTTTACTTGCTTTATTTATTTTATGGGTCTACTGTTTGGTTTATTTGATTGTTAAAGCACTTTGGAAAGTCTGGTTCAGGAAGTGCTGCATGTTTAAGTTTCGTATTATATTTACTGTTCCTGCAGTGAGGACACAGTATAACAAGCAGGGTTTGGATTTATTCATTTTAAATTCAATTAAACCTCTCAGGGCTGCCTGTGTTAGGGTTCACAGAAGAGGGATAGTAACTGGAAGATTGCCAGTTTGAATCCAATGAGCTGCTAAAAGCTTGACTACCACTGAGCAAGGCACATAAAGAATAGACGAGGCTTTAACATGAATGAAGAAGCAGGGCTGATTCAAATGAAAAAAAAATGGTTCAATAAAAGGTCCCATCCTGCCAGGTCAAACCTCATGCGTGCGCTGCGTGTTCATGCTAATCCCACATAAACAAAAGTGAAAGCAAGGAAGCCAAGTGTTCCAAATCTAAAGTAGGTTAAACACAGCTGGTGATCGGGATTAAGCTGATCACGTTCACATGTGACTTCACAGAGAAGGACAAAGGGCGAGCGAGGAAAGAGAGAGAGAGGGGAAGGATAAAAAGAAGCATGCAACGAGGAAATCACATTTCCAAAAGGATCAAGGTAGAGGAGAAAGACTAGCACATGACTGATGGCCTTTGATGAAACCAGATATGCTGCTGTAAGATCTGAACTTTTCTTCTGTGCCTCTGTATCGCTGCTGTCAGTAAAAAGAAAAAGCGTTCCCCTTGCAACACCACCAATGTTCATGTTTTTACTTGAACTGAAAGCTTACAAGGTGCTTGATAAGCTGGAGCAAGTTTCAAGAGCCTGAGGCCCACAGGATCCACTGAAACACTGTGAAACTATATCAGAAGTGCTCGTCAAACTGAGTCTGTTTTTCTGACTTTCCATAAAATGCCCTCTTTCTGCGTTACAAGGTTTGCTACTGCTACGAGTGACAAACAGGATTTAATATATGGAAACAACAGAGACTTCTTTTTGGTTGTGAGGAATTTAAAAAAAGGCACATTTCAGCACACACAGGTTAGCTCTACTCAGTTTACTGTGGAGACTCTGGCACCCAACTTCTCTTAAAGACAAACACTGGTGAAATCCAAGCCTTCCCACTTTGAAAAATGAGCTAAAGCCAAGGAGCATTTAACTGCATGAGCAGTAAAACAGGTATGGCTTCAACTTTTAATGCCTGTCCTGACAAGATTATTGTGGCTACAGAAAAAAACTGTATATCATTTAGTAACATTTATAGGTTTGATTTTAAATGTTATGACTGGTCATGAACTTTGACCCTTAGTGCACACAAAAAGAAAGTACTAATCTTTAGACTGAAAATCGGAAAGTTTCATCATTTTACATTTAAATTTGTGTATCCTCTATATTAAAAAATTAATTCAGTAAGTTCTTATTTTTTCCTGCTGGTACACTGTGATGTTGTCCAAAAAACAGGATTTTAATGTATAAACAAGGTAATATAAAACATAATGAACATTTATTGGCATTTATTCTTGGAGAGGTGCCTTTTATGATAGGTACCCTTAGAAAAAGGTTTATTAATAAAAAAAACTGTTAAAGTAATTCAAAGGCCAGACAGTCAGGTCACAACATATTGCATAAACAATGCTGTTCAAGTGCTTCTCAATAAGAGGACGTGAAAGTGAAATCAATGAACGGTTTGTTCGTAATAACAGTGTTGATCCCTTGACTTTTCATCAAACTTCTTATTTACTTTTTATACCTGAAAAACTAATGACACTCCAATCAGCCTCAGCTGTAGTTTGTGTTTAGTGTTTATTAACAAATGTTAGCTTGCTAACACGCTAACCCAGTGGTTGTCAATCGTTTCTGTCACGCCCCCCTTCAGAAGCCAAAAAAAAGTTCATGCCCCCCCCCACCCCAGCAAAAGTGGACTTCATTTTCATCTATCATTAACAGGTGACTGAAATAAAATGATTCAGGTTAGCAAAACAGCCTTGCTAGCATCAGAGCACTTTTGTTTGTTGGTCACCATATGAATCATATTCATGCAACTTTAAGTCTATTCAACATGCACAACCCTACCCACGAAAATTGTAAAATATACCCCTTCCCCCCAGTTTGACAACCACTGCACTAACCTAAGATGGTAATCATGGTAAGCATTATACTTGCTAAACAACAGCATGTTAGCATTGTCATTTTTAGCAGGTTAGCATGCTGAAGTAAGGCCAGTCAGGACAGCCTCAGAGAGCTGCTAGCATGGCTGCAAACTCTGTCTTGTATTTTTTGCTCCTGAAATTACCAAATTACTCTCCAGGTATGATGAAGTTTTATCCAGTCTAATCCGTTCATGAGTGGAAGTTGTAGTAGTCTGTCTATTTAACAAGAAGCCTGTAAGAATAAAGGAGAAACTATTTTCTGTTGTTTTGTGGATGAAATATGGAGCAGTGTGTCCATGTCTTTCACAAACTGCCTGGCAGAACAAAGGGGTAATGGAGAATTTGAGTGGGAATTGGTGTGTTTACTTAAAGCCTTCTCCTTCTAACACAGAGCTGCGAGGCAGACCTGCTGTCTCTACGCTATGCTTTCACACCGAATGCCAGACAAATAACGGGGGAAAATGGCCCTCGATGGTGCTGAGGTTGGATTACAGAGCGGCCCAAATGGTCCCAAGTTGGCACCTTGCAAAACATCTTCAAGAACACATTGTGCTAACCACAAAAAAACAAATCTGTAGTTTCACAGAAGCTGTTTTCTACATTTGTTTCAATGCTGTTTTGTATATACAAGAATGTACATTGGTAGAGGAGGAGAGAGGTAGATGAGTTGAATTAAAAACTTGCTGGTGCCAGGGTTTTCTTATTTTTTCTAGTTTCAGCTACCGTTCAGTAGTTAACCATCCAAGTTAGTGCAGGACTCTTTTCTTTCTTTGTGTCTGCATTGTTTCTGGTAACTCTTGTCTGTCTTCCGGGCTCTGGCCTGACGAGGCGGCCCTGGCCAGCCAGGACTCCCTCAGGAGTCACTGGATCCCTTGTCCGATCACAGGGCACCGTGGCCTCAACGGGGGTACATTACACTTAGTCAGCAGACCACAGGCAACAGGAAAACAGAATCTGCTGCTTCACGGCGTTCTTCCCAACCCTAAACCATCTCCCATGTCCTAATCAGGTTACACCTTCATCTATTACATCACAACAGGTCCTTTAGGTCTGGTTTGTTTTTTTCTGGGTTTGGGTGCAGATAAGTATTCGTAAACGTAACAGAATCCAAATGCCAAGTATGATTTTAAGGCATCAAAGTATAATGGGCAGTTATTCTGGACAAAAGCCTTAAGGTCATATCTTATTAGTAATGTGACCATAAAGCTTGAGGTCATATCAAAAACAAGGTGTTGTTGACATAACCTTAAAAAGGAGATAACCTACAAAACCTAGACCGACAATAAGCCAGGGTCTCTCTCTCTCTCTTTTAGAGAGTCTAGGTTTTATTTAGCGAAATACTTTTTTACATTAGGATATTCAGTATTGTGTGCAGTCATACTTCTACTCTAGTGCGATACATTTTGAGCCAAAACACATTTGCAAAGGCTTATGCTTATACTTAACTAATTTACACTCTGGCTTGAAAAATGTTCCAGGTAAGTGGAAATGTTCCTACTTATGCAAAAGTATCTGTACTCCTCCTCAGTCTCATATAAGATGGAAAACCATGCTGCAGATTCAGTTTCAAACACTTGCGCTCAGTCTCTCTGCATGGGGAACATGGTGAGCCATAGGTCTAACAGATACCATTCTGAAAACTGGGTCACATCACACACAATACATTACATAAACATTACAGGTGGACATTCGTACAAAGAAGGGGGCTGCATTCGGAGCCATTTTGGCTACTTACCACCATGCACAATACATTTTCAGCAGGGAATACAAAAAAAACCCATCCATGCAATAAACCCAGGCAGAAAAACAAAACAAAAAAATAAAACAAAAGACAGACAGAAATGCGTTACGAACCGAGTAAACAAGACACTGTCGAAAAAGCAAAGAGAAGAACAAAATGGCGGTCTGGGATTGAGGTGGAGAATTCATACCAAGCTCTGAACCCGGGGGGGGGGGGGGGGCTAATATGGTTTCAACTTCAATTGAACTGCTCTTACCTCCACCATAATGTGAAAGGCGTGCTTGTTGAAAAGGAACATAAGAAGCAAACAGAGAAATTATTTTCTGTCAGTTACTGGATGCAATAGAGGCAGATAGAAGGAAGGTAGGAGATGATGAGTCATCCTTCAACAACCCTTTGTTCCCCCCACATACTCCAGACCATGGCTGAAAAGCTATGGTTTGAGACACGCGAAGGGCCACAGGTATCTGTAATCCCACATCCCATCAAGGAAGGTGTTACTAAGCACGGCCCCAAAGGTGAGATGGCACATTATAGGAACTTAAATGATGCTCGTAAGCAGAACAACTGAAAACAGACCAAGATGAATGACAGATGCATGAAAGGATTCCTATGTATACTCAAAAGACAGAATTGTTGGGTTAAGAACAACAAGGGCTGGGTAATGTGTTTTGCTATTGTGGATACAATAGCAGAGTTTATGTACTAATATCAAAGCATACATTTTTTTATACCTTACTTCGAAAAATATAAAAATGGTTGCTAGAACCGAACATTTTAAGTCAACAAAATAATTTAAAATGGGAACCATCTACATTCAGACTGCAGGCCTTAATGTTCAATTCCGATTTTGTTCCCCAAATCTGATTTTTTTGTTT